AGGTTTCTATTAGAAAAGCTTACCCTCTCTCCAATGTATAGTCTTAGATCCTTTGTTCAAAATCAGTTAGCTGTAGATACTCAGAATATACATTACATATACATGCATACACATATACATGGAACTGATAAAAAAATCAAAGGAAATGAAATGAATGGGAAAATCCTCCTACTAGTTGAAGGGAAGTTTTAGTATTTTGTTTCATTTTTCTGTGTGTATGTGTGTGTGTGTACATACATACATACATATATATATAAACTTCTCACAAAGTTTTTCTTTGTTTATTATTATTATTATTATTATTATTTGGTTTTTCGAGATAGGGTTTCTCTGTATTATTTTGGAGGCTGTCCTGGCACTCGCTCTGTATACCAGGCTGGCCTCGAACTCACAGAGATCCACCTACCTCTGCCTCCCGAGTGCTGGGATTAAAGGCGTGCGCCACCAACGCCCGGCTTTGTTTATTATTTTTGAGAAAAGGTTTCTCTGTGTAGCTCTGGCTGTCCTGGAACTCACTCTGTAGACCAGGCTGGATTTGAACTCACAGAGATCTGCCTGCCTCTGCCTCCTGAGTGCTAGGTTAAAAGGCACGCACCACTACTGAATGGCTCTTCCTACAAAGTTTTAATAAAATAAGGAACAGTTCTAGCTGAGTTGTGGTGGCCTTTAATCCTAGCACTCAGGAACTAGAGGCAGGCAGATCTCTACGAGTTCGAGGCTAGCCTGGTCTATAGAGTGAGTTCCAAGGCAGCTAGGGCTACACAGAGAAACTCTGACCCAGGAGGTCGGGGGAGACTTAAAATTTAAAAGAGAAGTTGTTTTTATTACTCCTGCCATCAGCCTTACTTTCCAGGAACTATTTTTAAGATTTCTAAGTTTTGTTTTTTTCTGGTGACTATGATGGACACATTCCAATTATATTTCTGTGTCTCCCTCACCTCTTAACTTATTTGCATTAACATTTTAAACATTTACATGTGATTCATAATTATAATTATTTTGTGCTTTGCAATTGAATTGCTTCTGGACGTTTTAAACTCTGCAAAACATCATTTTTTAAAAAGATTTATTTACTCATTATGTATACAACATTCTGCCCCATGACTGCACACCAGAAGAGGGCACCAGATATCATTATAGATGGCTGTGAGCCACCATGTGGTTGCTGGGAATTGAATTCAGGATCTCTGGAAGAAAATTCAGTGCTCTCTTAACCTCTGAGCCATCTCTCCAGCCCCGCCAAACATGATTTTTTATTTTATTTTTATTTTGTTGCATTGGTGTCTTGCCTGCGTGTATGTGTGTGTGATAGTGTCGAACCTTGGAGTTAGAGAAAGTTGTGAGGTGCCATGTGGGTGCTGGGAATTGAACCCTGGGTCCTCTGGAAGAGCAGCCAGTGCTCTTAACCACTGAGCCATCTCTCCAGCCTCCTAAAATATCATTTTTAGGTTGCTGTGTCCACACTATTAGGTGCAGACTCAGATAGGGGCTTTGCAAGGAAAATGGAATCTATGCCACTAAGGCCTTCTCCCTCTTCAGAAGAAACCGTCCCAATACCCTTATTCCCACACATGCCTGTGGTGGATTGAATGAAAATGTCTCCCACAAGTCTCAGGCATTTGAACACTTGGTCACCAGATGGTGGTGCAGTTTGGGTATGTTTAGAACTGTAGCCTCACTGAAGGAAGTGTGTCCCTGGGGGCAGGCTTTGAGGTGTCAGGAGCCATGTGCCGAGCCCCCTGTTAGCCCTTTTGCGTCATGTTTGTAATTCCAGATGCCAGCTTCCATCTCCAGTCTCTAAGCCTACCTACATGCTTCCTCGTCAGGACAGTGACGGACTCATCCCTCTGCGAGAATGGAAACGAGTCACGTCAAGGTTGCTGGGAAAAGGTAGTTGGATATTTATTCAGATAGAGAGAAGTAACTTAGATGAGAAGCTGAGAACCTGGATCAGCGCTCTATGATCTCCGTAAAGATTTATTTATTATGTATACAGTGTTCTGCCTCCAGGTCAGAAGAGGGCACCAGATCTCATTACAGATGGTTGTGAGCCACCATGTGGTTGCTGGGAATTGAACTCGGGACCTCTGGAAAAGCAGTCAGTGATCTTAACCTCTGAGCCATCTCTCCAGCCCCCTCCTGTACCTTCTTTTATCCCTGGTTTCTCCCATGTACTTATGGCCCGTTGGGCGTGGTCAGTGCTGCAGGTACTCAATCTCTCCTACACCTCTGGACCTATAAGCCCCAAATAAACCCATCTCTAAATTGCCTTGGCTGTGACGTTTCATCTCAGCAGCAGAAAGTAACTGTTTTTGCGGGACTTATTCTAAATCTGCCACTGTTTTTAATTAAAAGCATAAAATGTTAATTTAATATTTCTGGTTTTGTGGTATGGGCCACTGAACTCAGTCCTCACATATGATAGGTGAGAAACTACCCCTACACTCCCAGCCCTTGTTTGTTTGGTTGGGTTTTTGAGACAGGGTTTCTCTGTGTAGCCCTAGCTGAACTAGAACTAGCTCCTGTAGACCAGGCTGGCCTCAAACTCACAGACATCCACCTGCCTCTGCCTCCTGAGTGCCGGGATTAAAGGCATGCGCCACCACTGCCGAGCCTCTGTTTGTATTTTTTAAATTGCCCTTTTCCTTTTATAGGAAGAAAAGTCTCACACAGAGTTGAATACATTGTGCAATTCCTCATAGCAGTAAATACCTCCTCATCTCACTTTGATGTCAGACAAGGAACAGAAATCAAGCATCAGGGTTGGGGTGGGGGCGTGACTCAGCTGGTAGCATGTGTGTCTAGCAAACCCCAGGGCCTGGCTTCTACACCCAGCACTGAATAAAACGACGTGGTAAAGTACACACGTAACCCCAGCATTCAGGAGATGGAGATGGGAAGATCTGAAGTTCAAGGCTCTTATTGTGTAGTGAATTTGAGGTTATCCTGGGCTACATGAGCTCCTTTCTCAAGAAATTAAAAGATGTAGAAACTACTTGCAAAAATCTCCATAGAATAGCGGGCGTTGGTGGCGCACGCCTTTAATCCCAGCACTCGGGAGGCAGAGGCAGGTGGATCTCTGTGAGTTCGAGGCCAGCCTGGTCTACAAAGTGAGTTCCAGGACAGCTTCCAAAGCCACAGAGAAACCCTGTCTCGAAAAAACAAAAACAACAACAAAAAAAAAATCTCCGTAGAAGTGGGTGGGGCGCTGAAAAGAAGGAAAAGCCCCAAAAGAGAATCTTCCGTTACCTTTGGTTGCCCCCTGGGTCCTCGGTTCGGTTATTTATTGTTGTTTTAACAGTCCTAAAGCTTGGCGGTCAAAAGCAACACCCGTTGTGTTACCGACAATGATTCTACGTGTTTACTGGGGGCTGCGGGGCCAGTTTTTAAGCTTCGTGTGATGTGGGTTGTGGCTGTGTTCATCTGGGCATTTGGCGGGGTGGGGCTGTTTCAGTGGCTCCTTCCCATGGCTGGCAGGGACAGAGGCTGGCATCTCAGCAGGGCTGTTGACTAGACATGCACTTGGCCCTGTCCGTGAGGCTCGTGCTTTTCCTTCCCGGTGGGACCCACCCTACACCCAAGTTCACAGTCCCAACAGCATCATCCTAGAGCACCAAGCTCCTATCCGCATGCAAACCACGGCAAGAATGTGGCCATCGCTCTCATCCAGGTCCAAATCCTTGGGTTTTTTTGTGGGAGTGTTCTGGAACCTTTATCTCAGTATACTACTGACAAAGTAGTTTCATACCATGATAAAATGCAATTTTTTTGTTCGTTTTGTTTGTTTGTTTGTTTGTTTTTTTGAGACAGTATCTCACTGTGTATATTTAGCTGTCCTTAAATTCACGGTGTAGACCAGACTGGCCCTGGAACTCAGAGATCCACCTGACTTTATCTTCAGAGTGCTAGGATTAAAGGTGTGTGTATGCCATCACACCTGGCTTTTATTATTATTAATTTGATGCATGTTTTAGGGTTTTTTTTAAATTGCTGTCAAGAGACACCATAACAGTGGCAACTCTTATAAATAAAAACATTTAATGGAGGGCTGGAGAGATGGCTCAGCGGTTCAGAGCACTGTCTGCTCTTCCAGAGGTCCTGAGTTCAATTCCCAGCAACCACATGGTGACTCACAACCATCTGTAATGAGATCTGTAATGTGCCCTCTTCTGGCCTGCAGATGTTCATGCGGGCAGAACACTGTATACATAATAAATAAATCTTAAAAAAAAAACATTTAATGGAGGTGGCAGCTTACAGTTTCAGAGGTTCAGTCCATTACCATGGTGGGGAGCCATGGCGGCTTGCAGGCAGATGTGGGGCTGAGAGTCCTGCATCTTGCAGGCAACAGGAAGTCAACTGAGACACTGGGCAGTATCCTGAGCGTAGGAAACTCCAAAGCCCCGCCCCCACACCCACATACAGAGTGACACACTTCCTCCAACAAGGCCATATTTGTTCCAACAAAACCACATCTCCTAATAGTGCCACTCCCTGTGAGATTATGGGGGCCATAAATGAACTACATTCAAACTGCCACAAAGCGTACGAATGTTTTGCCCGGGAGCCGTGGATGTGCATCATGTGCTTGCCCGGGAGCCGTGGATGTGTATCATGTGCTTGCCCGGTACCTGCTAAAGCCAAAAGAGTTTTTACCGGGGCTAGAAAGCATCACCCCTCGGAACTGGAAGGATGACCTGTTTGGTGTGAGTAGTTGTGTGGATGCTGGGAACTGGACCCATCTCTCCAGCCACCCAAAATACATCTCTTGCAGAAGTCATTAAAATCACGCTATTGAGAAGTAGGAGACAATAGATACGACAACGATAGCTACTTATCCCTGTCTGGTTGAATAGAAATATGTACTGTTGTGTGGGGGAAGTCCTGTTATTTGCCTGTGCATTTGTCAATAAAGTACTGTCTGGCCAATAGAAAACCTAGATAGGAGGGACTAGGGGTCGAGGAGGATTCTGGGAAGGGGAAACACAAGAGAGTCGAGATGTAACGCCATGAGGTAGAACCCCGGAACTATTCTCCGGTAAGAGACATACTTAGATTAACAATTACGGGGTAATTACTTAAAGCAGAGCTAGCCAGTAAGAGACAAACAAGGCCAACAGCTTCATAATTAATATAGCCTCCTGTGTGTTTATTTGGGGACTGCAATGAGGCAGAGCCTAGGCGGCTGGCGGGGAATAAACCAAAGCGGCTAGCAAAGAAAAAGCTTCTCTTAACACTGTTGGTTTCTGTTATAACTCCTCCAGTTGATTTTTGTTTTTTCTTTTCTTTTCTTTTTTTTTTTTTTTTTTGGTTTTTTCGAGCCAGGGTTTCTCTGTATTGTTTTTGGAGGCTGTCCTGGAACACACTCTGTAGACCAGGCTGGTCTTGAACTCACAGAGATCCACCTGCCTCTGCCTCCCTAGTGGCTGGGATTAAAGGCGTGTGCCACCAACACCCGGCATAAATGTAAATTTTTTAAATTAAAGAAACCTTGAGGGATTCAGCCCAGAGACTTGGCCCCTGGGTGCGTCTAGACCTTATCATTTTGACAGTCAGCCATCAGTATTGACTATCAGGATTCTCACATGTTGTTTGAACCTGAAAATTAAGTCTTGTCTGTAAGGAAAACTCCACCTATAACCTTGGGATGGTTTCTGTTTAATTCGTTCTATTTTGTTCTCTAGGAACAGCCATCATGTGGTGACAAATTGTTCTACCTCTCCTTACACATCTGTAATCCAGATGCTGGTGGTGGCAACCATGGGTTGGGGATTTAATGAGTTATCTTAAAGGGGCCATTCCAGGACCTATTTAAAAAAAATAAACCAAAGACCCCAATTTTTTAATTAAGCCTGCTTGTTTTCACTTGTTTAAAATTTGGTTTTACTGAGTTTAGATGGGGGGCTCGGCAGTCTAAGCGCTTGCTGCTCTTCCAGAGGACCTGGATTGGTCCCCGGCACCCACATGAGGCATCTCACATCCGTCTCTAACTCCAGTTCTAAGGGATCCGATGCCCTCTTTTGGCATCTGTGGGCACTGTGTACTCATAATGCAAGCAACACTCATACACATAAAACAAATCTTCTTTTAAATAATTGGTTTTGCCAAGAAGCCGACTGACAAATAATTGATTTTGTTTCTTTTTCTTTTGGTTTACTTACGATGTAAGGGTTTGTAGCTTTCTATTACCCCTGCTCTTACCCCTCCTCTTTGAGCTACCTACCCTTCCTACACTGCTCCCCATCCTCTCCATCATGCATGTTAGGTCCTATCCAAATTCTCCTTGTCTATCAAAATGAAGTTTCCTTTCTTTCAACCTTTATATTACTTGTAGTAACTTGGAAGAAACGCACCCCCCCCAAAAGGCGTGGCACTAGTAGGAGGTGCGCCATTATTGGAGTGGGAAATAACCTTGTTGGAAGGAATTGTGTCACGGTGGGGGCAGCCTTTGGGTCTCTCTTGCTCAAGGTCCCCTCAGTCAGCTGACTTCCTGTTTCCTGTAGGACTCTCAGCCGCTCCTCCAGCACTATGTCTGCCTGCACACCGCCACGCTCCCCACCATGGCGACAACGGACTGAACGAACCTCTGAAACTGTAAGTGAACCGCTTGGATGAACTGTTTTCCTTATAAGAGTTGCCAAGGGGGCTGGAGAGATGGCTCAGAGGTTAAGAGCACTGACTGCTCTTCCAGAGGTTCTGAGTTCAACTCCCAGCAACCACATGGTGGCTCACAACCATCCATAATGAGATCTGGTGCCCACTTCTGGCTTGCAGACATACATGGAGGCAAGATGTTGTATTCATAATAAATAAATAAATCTTAAAAAAAAAAGAGTTGCCAAGGTCATGGTGTCTCTTCACAGCAATAGAAACCCTCACTGAGACACCATGGCACTGGAGGAAAGTCTCGTAGTTAAGAGCACACACTACTCTTGTGGAAGACTGGAGTTCAGTTCCCTGCCCCCCAGACTGGGTTGGTCACATCTGCTTGTACCACTAATAACTCCGCTCCACGAGGATCTGACCCCCTCTGGCCTCCATGAGACACACACACACACACACACACACACACTTTAAATAATAAAACAAAACAAAAACCTTCATGCTCACTCATTAAGCCTGGACCTGGGAATGAGGTTGGGGGAACTCGGTTTCTGCCTTTACAATCTGCTTAACCAAACAAAGGCTTTAGTCACAGGTGAATTCAGGTGCTTTAAATGATGTCATCAAGATTGTGTTTCCCGCTCTTCCTCTCAGGTTTACTTGTCTCTGTTTCTCTTTTCACGTGGCCTCATTCTCTTCTGATCCAAAAAAAAAAAACAAAAACAAAAACCCGTACCTCACGAGTTACAGAAAGGGCAGCTCCTGTTTGCCCCGGGTAATATAAATAGCCTATGATTCCATGCTGAGAGAGTGAGACCCTTCCCAGTGTTCCCAGTTATGTCTCTGGGAAGAAATGTAATTGGACTTGCTTGGGACCATGCCCCGGTTGCACTGGGTAAACACGGCTGGGTTGGCGTGATTGGGTGGGGCGGGTTGTGTATCTACCTCAGTCGCCAGGTCCCATGGGGATCGTTTGGGATCTGGGAAGACCAGTTCTCTGGTGGAAAGAGGGATGCTTTGTTGTGAAGACAAAGGCAACAGCTGTCCCACACCTCACACTCTTTGGTATGGAAATGTGCCCTGGCAGGATCCCTGTCCTCCTTTGGCTCATCCTGCCTCTGGTTTGAGGGTTAGTTCTCTGCACACAAATCTCTGTCAGGGTGGATGTGAAAGGTTCAGGCGGTCCGCTGGCCCGTCCTGTCACCTGGCAGGATGCTCTCGGGCAGCACTCTGGTGCAAAGGGCCCCTTTTAAGGACTGACCTCTGACCGCTTATACTCTTTCTTCTCTTACTCTCCTCATCTCATCCTCTCTCTCTCTCTCTCTCTCTCTCTCTCTCTCTCTCTCTCTCTCTCTCCCTCCCCCCTTCCCCCTTCCCTCCACACAGGTTGGTTACCCCTCACCCCCCTGTCCTTCCCTGTCCACCAGTAACACTCCACGTGGGACCCTTGACTCGAGGTTTGCGTCTGGTTACTGGGTAAACCTAGACATTTTAACAACAGTGTGTCCTGTTAAAGGATGTGACCCTCTTGCAGGCTGTCTTTTCCTGTCCCCTCCCCCCATCCCTTACTGATTAAGAAAGGAGCAACAGCTACCAGTTACTTCGTGAAAAGCCTTCGGTTTGCTTTTTAACGTTGCTTGCCTGTGAAGCAAACTGAGAAGCAAGGGAGGATAAATGAGAAGGGGGAAAGACTAAAGGGAGAATTACCTCATGAACCCCAGGCTTTCCCCCCAATGAAATCATGGGCTGCCGTGGTGATTTCACACTCAGAGGGCTCGGTGAATTACAACAACGGGGCAATTTGGTGTACAAAAGTGCTCAGTGAACTGGGCAAGCGGGTGGTTCCAGAGTCAAAGGAATGCCTTGCTTTGAAGCTATTCACGGAACGCAGAGTGAGTGCTGGGGTCTGCCAGGCCCAGTGCTGGGTACAGAGTCGGCTTGAAATCAGTCTTTTATTGCCCCCCCCCCCGTACACTCCATTCTGCATTGTAAGTGGTGATTTTTACTTTGAACGGTCTACTTCCTTTATTTCCATTTGAGGAAGACTTAAAGGTCTAGGGATGAGGTTCAGCCGGCGGAGTGCTCGCCGGGTTTGCGGGAAGGCTCAGGTTGGATCCCTGGCGCGCATGAACGAGGCGTGGTGGAACATGCCTGTAACTCTAGAAGGGAAAGCAGGAGGCTCAGAAGTTGGGGGGGCGGGGCTAGGAAGATGGGTCAGCAGCTGAGAGCCAGTACTGCCCTTGCAGAGGACTCAAGTTCAGTTCCCACCACCCACACCAAGTGGCTCACAACTGACTGTAACTCCCCGCTCCAGAGGGTCTGATCCCTCTGACTTCCTCAGACACCCGTTCTCACGAGCACACACCCACACACAGACGCATAAGCATAATTAAAATAATCCTTTAAATACCTTTGCATAAAGAAGCTCGAAGTCATCCTTGGTTATGTAGAGTCCAACCTGCCTGGGTCCCATGGTCTAAAAATAATAAACAAGCAAAATGGAGTTCAGTTAGGTTGCATATACTTACTTATGTGACATGTCGTATCTTGAATCCTTTCTAAAAAGAAACCCTAAGGTAAATAGGATCACCTTCAATTTAGGATCACCTCCAGAGGACCAAGGTCGAGTCCCAGCATCCACATGGCAGCCCTCAGCCGTCTGCCTCCAGTCCCAGCAAGGAGGTTTAAAGGAGACTCAACCAACCATCGCGGCAATTCTCACCACACCCCAAATACAGGCTACTGCCTGTGTACAGCCGACAACCCGTGCGCGTGTCCACAGGTGAATGGAGTGAGAGTGTGCTATCCACATGCAACAGAGAGTTCCAGGGAGTCCTGGTGACAGGAGCCCCTACGTGGAGGAAGCCAGCGTCAGCGTCAGATATGCTGCATGATTTCATTTATATGTGGGCAGCAGCAGAGGGGAACTCGTAGCTGGGAATAGAACTGTGATTTCTAGGGCCTGGAGTTTGGTGAAGTGGAGAGGTAACTGGTCGAGAGGAATGAGCTTCCATTTGGTGTGGGACATTTGTGCACAGTGTGTGAAGGCATATTGCTGAGAACGGTATAATGAAGAGCGGAGTCACCAATAGCTAGGCAGGAAAGAATAGGCGGGACTTCTGGGGAGAGGACTCTGGGAAGAAGAGAGACTGGGAGACACCATAGAGATGCCTGGGAAACAGGACTTGCAATAGGGCAGAACAGAGATTTAAAAATACGGGTTAACTCCGGGCGTTGGTGGCGCATGCCTTTAATCCCAGCACTCAGGAGGCAGAGGCAGGCGGATCTCTGTGAGTTTGAGGCCAGCCTGGTCTACAAAGCAAGTTCCAGGACAGCCTCCAAGACAATACAGAGAAACCCTGGCTCGGAAAACCAAAAAAGAAAAAAAATATATATGGGTTAAGTCATAAGAGCTAGTTGGAAACACACCTAAGCTAAAGGCCAAGCTTTCATAACTGATAATGAATCTCCCATGTCATTATCTGCAGGTTGGTAGTCCAGATGAGAAAGTACAACTACATTCAGTTATGAAATAAATAGATTCTGGAGGTCCAGCATGAAGGACCATGACCAGCGCACACTGGGAAGGTACTAAGAGAGCCCGTCTTAAACGGTCTTGATTCGCTTGTGAGAGTAAATCTTTTTTTATATAAAGTTTTTTTTTGTTTTTTCTTTGGTTTTTTCAAGACAGGGTTTCTCTGTAGCTTTGGAGACTGTCCTGGAACTCACTTTGTAGACCAGGCTGGCCTCGAACTCACAGAGATCGGCCTGCCTCTGCCTCCCGAGTGCTGGGATTAAAGGCGTGTGCCACCAACGCCTGGCTTAAAGTTTATTTAAAATATATTTTTTTTTATCCTGTCTCTGTTGTGTGTCCAGAATAGGGCATCAGATTCCCCCCTGGAGCTACAGTTACAGGTGATTGTGAGCCACCAAAGGGTGCTAAGAAGAGACTGTGGTTCCCTCTCTAACCACTGAACAGTGTCCCCGGTCACGACATCTTATTTTTCATTATGTGAATATATGAATGTTCATGTGTTAAGTGCAGGTGCCCTCAGAGTCCAGAAGAGTTCACTTGGTCCGTGGGGCATGGGGTTATAGGTGGATGTGAGCTGTAAGCCATATAAACTGTTGCACCATCTGCTAGAGTGAATCTTTCTTTCCTTCTTTCCTCTTTTCTTTCTTCCTTCCTTCCTTCCTTCCTTCCTTCCTTCCTTTCTTTCTTTCTTTCTTTCTTTCTTTTGAGATAAGGTCTCCCTACATATTCCTGATGTCCCCCGGAACTCAAGATGTAGACCAAACGGGCCTTGAATTTGCAGAGTTCTGCCTGCCCCTGCCTTGAGTGCTAGCATGAAAGGCTTGCACCACCACGCCCAGAGAGTAAATCAGTGTACACACAAAGACACACACACACACACACACAAAGACACACACACACACACAAAGACACACACACACACACACAAAGACACACACACAAAGACACACACACACACACATACACACAAAGACACACACACACACAGAGTTGGAGACAACGTGAGATGACGGCGATATTAACTGGCATAATTTCGTGATGCATGTGTATATCAAAACATTGTACACCTTAAACATATACAAGGTAGCTGGGTGTTGGTGGTGCACACCTTTAATCCCAGCACTCGGGAGGCAGAGGCAGGCGGATCTCTGTGAGTTCGAGGCCAGCCTGGTCTACAAAGCGAGTTCCAGCACAGGTTCCAAAACAATACTGAGAAACCCTGTCTCAAAAAAAAAAAAAAATATATATATATATATATATATATATATATACAAGTTTTGGTTGTTAAGTTTAGCTCAGTTAACATGGGGTGAGTCTAACCTAGTGGGGATAGCCCATCTGGGGGGTCAGATCTCCAGTTTTCTGCACAATGGTGTCATCCACATCAAGGCTTTTCTTTGCACCCATTTTCCCCTTCCTCGGGTAAATGCCTTGCGTGCTCTTTCTCAGTTTGACACAGGTTGTCTTTGTCCACTGCTGGTTCCTATCAGCATCTCTGGCTTGTCCTAGATCAGGTAGTCACCCCTGCTCTGATCCATCACCCGTGATGGGGGCAGGAGGGCTAATCAAGGCAGAATTCCCTTCACGGTGTAAACATCCGTGAAGGTGACTAGCGTAGCCTTGAACAGAGACACGCCCAAATGCACAGTTTTTAATCTATTAATATGATTTAGTAAATGTTGCATCCTAGCTGGCAGCAGCTGGTATTTTAATCACAGGCCCTGTGTTGAAGAGGAACAACCCAGGCTAGGTGACAGTAGGACATAACTTGGAATATTAGACAACCACCAACGGGTCGAGTTTTCAGTCCTCCCGTAAGCAGCCTGAGGTGACCTGGGAAAAATGGTTTACTGCTCACTCAGCTGAGAAAAGCCAACAAAACCGGGCACATTTAGAGGATTAAGTCTGTGTGTTCATTCTCTGTTCATGGAAGTGTCCTGGCCACCAAGGAACTGTATACCATAAAATCACTTACAGAAGCAGTGTGAGCCATCCAGGTAGGGTGAGTACATGTGCTTGGCAGGCCAAGTGGGTCTGGTGACAGAACCTGTGGACCAAAAGGAAAGCTGATTTTTTATTTTTTTTTTATTTTTTTATTTTTTTTGGTTTTTCGAGACAGGGTTTCTCTGTGGCTTTGGAGGCTGTCCTGGAACTAGCTCTTGTAGACCAGGCTGGCCTCGAACTCACAGAGATCCGCCTGCCTCTGCCTCCCAAGTGCTGGGATTAAAGGCGTGCACCACCAACGCCCGGCTCTGATTTTTTATTTTTATTCATTTATTTATTTTGGTTTTTCGAGACAGGGTTTCTCTGTGGCTTTGGAGGCTGTCCTGGAACTCACTTTGTAGACCAAGCTGGCCTCGAACTCACAGAGATCCGCCTACCTCTGCCTCCCAAGTGCTGGGATTAAAGGCGTGCACCACCAACGCCTGGCGAAAGCTGATTTTTTAAAAAATTTATTTCTGACTCACTGTGTCTATGACTCGTGTGTGTGTGTGCGTGTGTGCGTGCGTGCGTACATGCACATGCACCATGCTGCATGCATGAAGGTCGGAGGACAATTCGCCAGAGTTGGTTTTCTCTTTCCAGCATATGAGTGGTGGGAATTGAACTTATGTCGTTAGGCTTGGCAACAAACATCTCTCTCTGAGCCATCTGTCTCTGCAGCCCCAAAGCTGACTGATTGCTTTATGCACTTAAAATGCAAAGTGACGCTGGTCTTGAGGGTTCAGATGCTGACGTTCTGGCCAATGGGTATGTCCAGACGAACAAAGCAGCTGAGATCCTGCACAGTGATGACTGAGCTGGGTCAGGCCTAGCCTCCCCCACAGGCTCCCCTGCCGCAGAGATGATCCTCCTCGCTGAGAAACAAGGAACGCATTGTGTGTGAAACAGAAGAGACTACACAGAGGAAAAAAGAAAGGATTCCCCAGAAGACACCGAGGACACATAAAACTATGGCATGGGAATATATTCAGCACAAAATAAATGCAAATAAACATGAAAAGGGGAACATGAAAATCTTTCCAAAAGATTTTCGTAACAGGCGAAGCGGCCGGAATACATCACGCGAAAACCAAGGCTAGTATGATAAAACTTCTCCATACATGGCACAGTAAGTGAACTCATCGTGCGTTTTAAGTAGGCAGAAAGGGCAATGTCACGCTAAAAGATGGGAGGTAGAGGGAATTTGAGAAGCTGGAAAGCAAAAAAAAAAAAAAAAAAAAGGAAAGCATAAGTTTCCCCATACTGGTATCAGAGGAGAGTGTCTGGACCAGGAGGCAGCAAGATCCTGGGATGAATATATTATAGGCTCTTGTGTTGCGGGGAAGGAAAAAAAAACAACTACTCTTGGTAGCAGAGTTAGCATCCTTTGTTGGGTTTTACAGAGCTGGTTTGTGACTCGGCACTGTAGAGGTGATGGTTTTGCTAGTAGCCAGTCGCTTTATTTTCTGAGAGCATTCCCCTATTGGCCAGAATCCTGGGCTAGCCATTTGGCTTACAAAGCAGCCCCTGTCTAGATAGTGAGACGGTTCCTCCGCGCTCACCGCGAAAGCTCTGAAACTTGGCACAGGGAAAGCAAACGCCAGACTGTGTGTGGGTTGCCTCCCTGAAGCAAAAAGACACCAAACAGGTTCAACCTGAAACCGCCGGCGACCTTTTCCTTTCCTGGCTCCCGGAATCGTGAGATCATTCGCCAGGGCGTTTTAAGACTGAAGTAGAGGCTGCTCTTTGGGGGATCTCTACGGCTTCCGACTGAGCGAGCTCCAGGACACAGCACCTCTACTGTTCGTCCCTGACTCACACCCGCACACGTTTCGATGTTTGGAGGAAGGTTTTTGTGGTTTAGGAAGAAATAAATTCCATAAACACTCACTGGTTAGATGGAACCAGGGAGAAAATTGTGTGTGTGTGTGTGTGGTGGAGGGGGGAGTCGGGGGTGTAGACCTCAAGCTTCATATGTCAACAAAGCAATTGAGTGCACACACAAGCTTTGTGACTGTTCGATGATATCATCGTTTATAAAACAGTTCCCTGTCGTCTTTTGTCCCTGTCTAGTGAAGGCAAGGGGAACTCCGGAGAGAGTCACGCTGGTGGCGTGCAATCTAGAAACAAATTAGAAGGATGTGAATAAAAACAAAGATGCTTGGCCAGAGAGGTGCTCAGTGGGCGAGAGTGTGTACTGCTCGTGCAAAGAATGGCCTTCCGTCCAAACCCCAGCACCCACACCAGGTGGCCCATGACTCAGTAACCCTGGCGTCAGGGAGTCATGCCCTCTCCGGGCTTCCCCAGTGCGGTGGTGGTGTGAAAAGGAACGGCCCCCATAGTCTCACAAGTTTGAAAGCTTGGCCCATTGGGAACGATTTTACTTGGAGGTGTGGCCTTTTGGAGTGGGCGTGGCCTTTTTGGAGGAAGTAGGTTACTGTGGGGGCGGGCTTTTTAAGGTCTCAGATGCTCAAGCTAGGCCTAGCGTGGCATTCACTTCCTGCAGATCAAGATGTAGAACTCTCAGCTCCTTCTCCAGCACCGTGTCAGTCTGCACGCTGCCATGCTTTCTGCCATGACCATAACGGACTGAACTCTGAAACTGTAAGTCAGCCCCAATTAATTTTTTTTCCTTTATGAGAATTGCCAAAGGAGTGGTGGCGCCACGTCTTTAATCCCAGCATCCAGGAAGCAGAGGCAGGCAGACCTTTGTGGGTTCGAGGCCAGCCTGGTTTTCAGAGCAGGCTCCAGAGCTACTCAGAGAAACCTTATCTCAGGACAACAAAAAGCAAACAGCAGCAGAGTTGCAGTGGTCATGGTGTCTCTCATGGCAATGGGATCCCTAACTAAGACACCCAGGCAGCCGCACTCACATGCATGTACAAAAATGAAATAATAAAGTAATCTCAAAACACATACGAGAACGATGAAAGTGTTTTTGTAGAGGTGCCATGGCGGCCAGTAAGCCTGAGTTCCCCTGAAGAAACGGGGAGGGAATGACCATAGGGTGATCCCAAGGTGCAATTGTGAAGCACAAAGGTTTGTATCAAGTCTTCAGAGAAGATGGCCTTCTGCAGTCTGGGGTTAAGTCTTCCCCCAGCTGTACCCTGGGACTATTCAGGCACAACAAAGTTGGCATTTGCTACACCGTGCCGTTTGGGCTTATTTAAAAAAAACACAGGAGCACCATGAAGTGAACACTGCTGCAGGCTCATTCTACAAACAAGGCACAGATCCATTCACTATTTTGGCCAAGTTTATCACCGATAGTGTTGTGCATGATAAAGAAAGGAAATGCGAGCGCTCCAGGGGAGTGGAGGGGGGGTCCTGCCGCTCCAATTTTCATACAAATGTGCCCAACCGTAGAGCTCACTTAGGACTGTGATAGCTTCTTCTCCTGTGTGCCCCCTGTGTGTGTGTGAGAGAGTGCTTCTGTTGAGATTAGCATTTCAACAGTGCAGGTGGTGAAGCTGATTGCTCTCTCCAGTGCAGCTGGAGGGCAGGGATCAACCAGCCCATTTGTATCAAAAGGTGTGAGGAGGAGGAATTTGTCCCCTTTGCTTTCTGCTTGCTTGCTGACATGGGGGGGGAGCACACAGCCTTCAGACTGTGAGTAACATCTCTGGCTGTCTCCAGCCCTCCCTCACCTAGCTCCCACTTCTCTGCCAAGCAAGATTTGCAAGAGGACAACTTGTGGGGGTCAGTTCTCTCCTCCCAGCGCGCGGGTTCTGGGACAGGGTGTCAGGCAAGCACCCTTGCCCACTGAGCCACCTTGCCTGCCCTCTCTGACCAGGTCCTCTTTCCCCCCACCCTTCTTATTCCATCCAGTCACCCCACATAGGATGGTACTGCTCACCCTAAGGGTCCTCCCCACCCTTGGTTCGTCTCTCTGAACACTACCCTTGAAGACAGGCAGAGGTGCCTGATAACTCAAATGGGTAAAATCAACCATCACGCCATCCAAGCACACAACTCACCCACCAGCCGCCGGTTTGAAAGCAGCTGAGGGGGCTGGAGAGATGGCTCTTCACTGAAGAGCCATCTCTTCAGCTGAGCAGCGTGCCGTGCTGCTCTTCCAATGGGACCTGGGCTCAGTGCCCAGCACCCACATCAAGGGGCTCACAACCACCTGTAACTCCAGGTCCAGGGATCTGACTCCTCAGGGGGGCGCCTGCACCCCCACACGCAGACACATAAGATAAATGCGGACACATACTTAAGGTGAAGTGTTTGAAGTCAGTTGTGACCCATGCCTTTAACCCCAGCGCTCAGGGCCAAAGGCAAGAGGACAATGAGTTTGAGGCTGGCCTGAGCTGCGTAACAAGCTCAAGTTCCGCTCTCCCTTGGAAAACAAACGACAATCATATTAAGATAATAGTGTTACATGGCCTAGACTAGTGGGTCCCAGCCTTCCTAATACGGTGACCTTCTAATATATAGTTCCCCCAACCATAGAATTATTTTCACTGCTGCTTCATAACTGTTAATTTTGCTGTTATAAATTGCAACATAAATATCTGACAGGTGACCCCTTCCGAGGGTTGAGACCCACAGGTTGATAACCATTGGCCTGTAAAATAACAATCTTTTAAAAATATTAAAATAATGTTATATTGTCCCTGCTATGCACTATGTAGTTAGGCCTATTTAGATAGCATTTACCTGTGTTATATATTACAACATATGATACAGAAGCGATTTAAAGTATACAGAACCACGTAGAAAACACACATATAGTAAGTCATCTTCTTTTGGGACTTATGCATCTTCAGTTTTGGGTGTGGGTATCTGTGTCCTGGAATCAAGGCCCGATCAAGCTGCCCCATTTGTAACTATATGTCCTCTTGGCTTTATTTCTCCAGAAAACACACACACACACTATTAGGAAGTGCGGCCCTTGTTGGAGGAAGCGTGTTGCTGTGGAGGTGAGCTTTGAGGTCTCACATATGCCATGCCCAGTGTCCCAGACCACTTCCTGTCACCTGCAAGTCAAGACATAGGACTCTCAGATACTTCTCCAGCACCGTGTTGCACCAAGATGATAATGGACTAAACCTCTGAAAAATGTAAGCCACCCCAATTAAGTGTTTTTCCTTTATAATAGCTGACATGGACATGACGTTTCTTCACAGCAACAGAAGCCCTAACTAAGACAAGTGGCAAGAGTACTCTTAACCACTGAGTCATGCTTTTACACAGTTTTATAAAGCAGTTTGTTCTCCTTTCTTCTTTCTGTACCAACCCAGGGCCCTGTGCCCACCAAGGTCATGCCAAGTACACATTGTGTACTGCGAAGCTATACCACAGCCCCTACGTCTTCATTGCAAATTCTTCTATGTACTGGCTGATAGCATTCTCCTCCTTCTATGTGTGAAACAGTTCTGAGAGGTCAGGTGGCTTGTCCAAGGCCACACGGTCAGCCCATCACAGAAACAGGACCAGAGTTAGGGAGTGTTCCCCTCGTGGAAGAGGCTAGGGAAAGCCCTTATTCTCTGGGATCTCTCTGTGGGCCATAACTAAAAAATGAATATGGTTGAAAGGTTGTGGTATCAGGAAAAATTTGTAAGTGCTTGTTTCCTTGGGGGTGATCCTGCTCCGACACCCCCTTGGGGGGAGGGGTGAGAAGACAGGCTCTGAGAGTCAGTGAGTTAGCAGAGCGTGCTGCAGACTTTTTATTTAGGAAGTTAGGCCTGCCTTTATACCCACTCTCAAGGTCCCATTGGCCCAGGCAGCTGACTCTGCTGCCTTGTCCTTTCTGCATGGGTGTCCCTGGTCAGGTGTCTCTGCATCAGCAGCCTCTGGGTGTAGAGGCAGGATTGGCTCAGGGAGGAAGTGCCTGCTGTGCATGTTCATGCGGCCTGACCTGACCTGGGCGCCTGGGCAGGGCTACTGTGGCTTGGGTAGGCTGGCCCGAAGTTTCGCCTACATTATTTGAATCTGGAGCTGTGCCTGCACTAGGAGGTGGGAGCTAACAAGAAAATTGCACTTAGTTCAGTGAATTCTAAGATTTATTTGTTTTAATGAGTATGTTTGTTTGCACGAGCGTTATGTGTACAGCATTCGTGCCGGGCGCCTTCAGAGGCCGGAAGAGGGCATCAGATACCCCCAGAACTACAGTTACAGATGGTTGTACATTGCCACGCCAATGCTGGGAACTGAACCTCGGTCTTCTTTGAGAACCGCAAGTGTTCTCAACGGCTGAGCCATCTCTTCGGCCCCAGAGTGTGTTGTTCATGCAGGATCGACAGGCATGTCTTTCGCCTGGAGATGGTAGACGCTGTTTAACAGTGCTGTGTTGTTAGTAGTATGCCTTCTGGTAACATGGAAGCGCCTTTTGTTTTAGACAGAGGTTTAATTTATTCTCTCTCTCTCTCTCTCTCTCTCTCTCTCTCTCTCTCTCTCTCTCTCTCTCTCTCTCTCTCTCTCTCTCTGTTAAATGTGGAAGCCTCGGTCTCCTGCTTGAGAAGTAAAGTAGAGAGGGCTTTACACTGGGCGAGCGAGAAGCAGCATGGACGGCGGGGCCACGAGAGGTTATGAAACAGCCGGAAGCCACGGTGAAGCGGGACGCGGGAACATCTGGAAGCCTCGGTCTCCTCTGCTTGAGAAGTAAGGTAGAGAGAGCTTTATACTGGGCGAGCGAGAAGCAGCACGAGATGGTTATGAAACAGCCAGAAGGAAGCCTCTGGGCCAAGATGTAGGGACTCTCGGCTCCTGCACCACATCGGCCTGCGTGCCGCCATGCTCCCCGCCCTGATGATAACGGGCTGAACCTCTAAAACTGTAAGCAAGCTCCCTCGATTAAACGTTTTCACTTACCAGGGTTGCCGTGGCCACGGCGTCTCTCCATAGCAATAGAAACCTCACTCAAGACAACACAGTTCTGGGAACCTTTCCAAAACTGCCCAGCAGACATCCTCTGACTGACACTGAGTCCTTGGCGTGTCTAAAAGCATTGCTAGAAACGGGAGTGGAGTGGTAAGCGGATGTGGGGAATCACCCCACTTACCTTTCTCTCCTTTGCAGTGATAAAACTCCCCGAATTCTATCTGGACACACAAACAGCAGGGCAGAAGCCTCCTTTCCCAGCCTCCCTTGCGCCTCATCATCACGTGACAAAGTTCAGGCCAGTAAGATGTAATTGGAAAGTTTGTAAGTAAATTGTGGGTTGAGCCGGGCGTTGGTGGTACACGCCTTTAATCCGAGCACTTGGGAGGCAGAGGCAGGCGGATCTCTGTGAATTCGAGGCCAGCCTGGTCTACAAGAGGAGTTCCAGGACAGCCTCCAAAGCCACAGAGGAACCCTGTCTCGAAAAACAAAAAAACAAAACAAAAAAAAAAATTGTAGGTTGACCCTTTAACATTCCTACACACTCTGCTTCCTCCTTGGGCGGCATGGGGTGACATAAGTCAGCCTCAGTGCACTCTCACAGATGACAAATACCTAAGTAGAAGGAACCCAGGACCCAAATCCTTCTCATTAAGAGATTTCTTTACCTGACTTCTAGTTTGAAATTCTGATTATTTTTCAGGCATCCATTAAAGCAGCATGGCCTAATTACTGTAATGGCCAAGCCTCGCTTAGGTTAGTGATTCTCAACAGGGTTCCTATGCTGGCAATGTCTGCAGTCTGCGTCACCCAGGTGCTTGCTGGACGAGCACGTCGTTGAACCGTACACCCAGAGTTACCTAGAATGCCTGAGGATTGTCCAGATATACATGTTTTCGGTAGTCTTCCAGGTCATTCTGTTGCTCGCTCAAGTTGAAAAGGCATGTTACTCTACAGGCTCCAGGGATGAGCTTACTACTATTATTTTTGCTAAGTGGACATAATATCAAACCACCCTCCAAATTGCTATCTCTGTACCCACAGATTAGTGTGGCTCTCAGACCACTTCAAGGGTTTCTTTGTGCAGTGGACACGGCGGTTAATACAGAAACTCACAGCTATCCAAAGTGCCAAGTAGCAGTGGCATGGTCAGCTGCAAAGGCAACAACGCCTGTATCAACAACCCACCAAAGCCAAAGGGGCTAATTCCAAAGAGCGAACAGGAAGGTTGTAAGAGTCAAGAGGTCAGCCAGGCGTGGGTGGCGCACACCTTTAATCCCAGCACTTGGGAGGCAGAAGCAGGCGGATCTCTGTGAGTTCGAGGCCAGCCTGGTCTACAGAGCGAGTTCCAGGACAGCCTCCAAAGCCACAGAGAAACCCTGTCTCGAAAAAACAAAACAAAAAACAAACAAAAAGAGAGAGTCAAGAGGTCATGGAGAACCAGAGCCAAACTGTGTCCTTTGAATGTGTCACTACACTCATGAACTCACAGTTGCTGTGGCAGCACAAGACCAACTCTAGATCAAGCCACTCAACATTCTACCATGGAGGGAGGAGGGGCTTGTGGGCCCCACCCCCAACTGTGGAACTGTAGACAGTTGGTGGTTTCTGTAGAGGAGAGTCTTTTTCTGTAAGGGTGTGGCTCTGGAAGGTGTGTCTAGCTCCTGGGAGGTTGACCATGCTCCAGTAGATGGCTCCAAACCCATGAATATTCAGGCAGCACAACTTGGATTTTCTTTCTTCTTTTGAAAAGGACACTAGGTGTGTTGATGATGCATGCATGCCTTTAATACTAGTATTCAGAAGGTCAATCTCTGTGAGTTCAAGGACAATCTGGTCTACATAGTGAGTTCCAGGCTGGCCAAAGCTATGGAGTGAAACCCTGTCTCAAAATACAAAGATGAGGACTAGAAGTTGGGGAGAAGGATGGTTGGGTGGTAGATCTAGAGGTTAGGGGAAGGAGTGGGGGGTGGATGTGATCTAAATACATTGTGTGAAATTCTCAAAGAATTAATAAAAAATATCACATACATGTCAATTATGTATTTGGCGTGGTGGCGCACACCTTTAACCCCAGCACTTGGGAGGCAGACACAGGCACATCTCAGTGTACAAAGGGAGTTCTAGGACCGCCAGGACTGTTACACAAAGAAACCCTGTCTCGAAAAACAAAACAACAAAAAACCCACCAATTATTCCATGCTAGATTCGGTTTGTTTGTTTTTTTCTTGCTAAGAATGTATACGGGCTTCATCTAAAGTATATGAACCGCATAGAAAATGTGGGGTTTTGTTCGGGCGGAATGGAGATTGGGTAAGCTACCGTTAGCCTTTGCCACTGTTATAACCGGTACGGTTCAAGTGTTTTCACCCGCTGGAATCAATCAACATAGAGATGGATGTTTACTTACGGTTTCGGGACAGAATTTAGAGGTGATGACTGTTAGTAACAGTACTGATGGCCGGGCTGGGTAACAGGCATGAAAAAGAGAGCAGAGAGCTCAGAAAGGGAAGACACTGGTCAGGGAAGCCATGCCAGCAAGACAATCTCTGAAGGCTAACAGAAGACTGTTAAAATAAATGGCCTGGGGTGGGGGTGGGGACCAGCAGGAGGAAAGGCAAAAAGGCACTGGCCAAGCACCCAGTTCCCCAGTGTGGTGTTCTGTATAAGAACAGTCCCTGTAAGGCTTTCGGCCACGCGCTGATTACTTGGTCTCCAATTTGGAACTTTTTGGTGAGGATTAGGAAGTGAGAACTTGTCCGGAGGAGGTTTCGCACCAAGTGGCAGGAGGGGCTCTGATGTTTCAAAAGCCTATGCCATTCACAGTTTCTCTCTCTCCCTCCCTCCCTCCCTCCCCTCATCTTGAATCCCTCTCCCTCCCTTCCTTCTCTCTACCCCTCCCCCCTCCCCGCCTTATGCTTTGGGTCTCTCAGCTACTGCGCCAAGCTTGTCTGCTCCCTGCCATGCTCCCCAACGAGAGAGTCAAGGTCTCCGTCTCTGAATCTGTAAACCACAGAGTTAGATGGCTTCCGTCATAAGTTGCCTTGGCCATGGTGTTCTGTCATGGTGATAGAAAAGTAACCAAGGTGCCCAGTGAAGGCCAGAAGCTTATTTGCCAGGGGGGTGGAAGAGGAGGAAAATGCAGTCTTGGGGGATGAGGGGGTGTGGCTTTTAGGGGACACGAATGAGTCTGAGGGATGGACCACAGCCAGGGTCAAAGTTCACTATACTCTGGCAGGGCAGGGCGTCAGTGCTAGGCAGGCCTCCTGCCCCGTGCACCAGTTTCCCCCCAGCTGGTTGGAAGGGGCAGAAGTGAGAAGGTATCTTCTGGAGGAGCCATCATTCAGACACACATCAGAACCTCAGAGAAAGCCCTCCTCTGCTGTTTCTCAGGTGCTCTGTTTGATGTTCAAGTCTGCATTTTGGGGGGGTGTTATCTATTTCTGAACCCCAACAGTACAACCTTCAAGTAGACAGGAGGATAGTTTTGATTGACAGTAATGTGGCGTTTCTAAGACAGTAAATTACAGCTCTAGACACACACACACACACACACACACACACACACACACACGATGTAAGGAATTATCTGTGTTAACTAGTTTGCTTTAACCATTCCGTATTATTTACAGCTATCACCATATCACATTGTAATCCATAAACATACACAATCATAATCCACCAGCCAAGAGTGACAATGAAGGAGAACAGCAGTAAGTTGGTAGTTGACATAGTATGGAATGAAGCCACCGACTGAAAATTATAAATGCAACAAAAACTCAAAATAAGAACAACTGTTAGCAGAAGGACTGAGTACACATAAACTAAAATTTCCTTTAAAAAAAAAACACATTTGTTTACTAACCATGGGCATTTGTGGAGGAACCAAGGTGTCAATTCTCTTCTTCTACAGGGGGCCTGGGACTTGAACCCAGGTCTTCAGGCTTGGTGGTCAGTGCGTTTTATCCACCAGGCCATCTCGCCCCCCTCCCCCATCCTTCACAGCAGGAAGTCAGTAGGTAGTTTCAGAAAACACTGCATCCAGGAGCATGTTAGCCCATTATTTAACAAGACAACCAGAAGGACAAAAACAGGCAATTGAAATAAAACCCTGGAGACACATAAGAGATTCAGCTGTGGGGGGCTGCTTATTTTCCTTCTGGCCCTCTTCTACCCGCTTGACGTTTTGTTTAACCTGGGGCATGTATCCCTCTGGCTGCTGTCCCTGATGCCTGGACACAGCAGTCTCTGATAGCTGTACTTCAGTTTCAAATTAAGTTCTAACGAGAGCAAAACTAAAGGGATGTAGCAGGTAGCTAGAGGCATAAATGAATAAAGCATCACCAGGTGGGGTCCTGACACCGTCCACTAGAGGTGATTAGGGTGGCTTAACTGGGAGTCCCGCCAACAAAGGTAAACTCATCGAAGGAGTTGGGGTGACATTCAGCAGAAATAGAAGGAGAGTTTGTGTGCTGGCATTTTTATACAAGGGATAAACAGTAGTAACCTCTGTTAGTTCACCTTTTAACTGTTCTCAAAGCTATGATATTTTTTAAACACCCCTGGCTGTTTTCCCTTCCTACTTTCAGAGCTAGCCTGCTCCAGAACAGGGAATTTCGGAGGGCAGATGGAAATAAGCATGTTCCAGGGCTTGGAGATGGCTCCGTGGGCCTGACAGCTTGTTGCTCCGTCCCTGGGACCCACAGGGCTCCAGCAAATGGTTCTCCGATCTCCACACGGACGCCTGTGGCCCAAGCGCACTTCTCTCCCAGACACCCCCCTCATAAAAGTGTTCGAGGGGGGCTCCTAGAGTCCGCTTAAGCTGCACACGATGTACTTTACAATGACGGGATCTTTTTTTTTTTTGCCATCAGCTACTTAAAATCAAACCACTGGAGAGGCTGCGCACAATGTGGGGCGACGGATTTTCCTGCTCTAAAAAGTTCCTCTGTAATGCCCTGCTTTACCCAGAAGCCACCAGAGTGTTTTCAGAGCCTCGGCTAGACCAGTCTCTGGAAAGCAGCTTTGAGAGTGGTTGGGTGGGGTGGGACTTCTGACAAAGGACCCTGGTTCATTGGCATAATCCTCGGGAGAGAGAGCTGCCCAGCAACGCCTGTGGTCAAGCCATGACAACCAGCTGGGAGCAGCCTGGTTGCAGCCCGTTGGCTGTCACCCTTTGTAGCATCGGCCTCAGTCAGCTTCTTTCTCATTCGGGCGGAGGAGAGCACACTGCCTTGAGGGATAATGGATGCTTTTAGCTGGAGAAAGGGCCGAGCCTCCAGCCACTAGCTCACTCAGCTCTGGCCCTGCAGGGGGAAAACATTCACATCCCTGAAGTCTTGATATTTCAACCGGGCCAGCTCCTGTTCAGACGGCCACATTAGCTACTGTGTTATGAGAGCAACAGTTACATCGTGGTTCTGCCTTTTAATTCAGCTCCTGTATGTTTCCTCTTAACACAACATCGCTGTCAGGTTTTAAGTTTTCTTTGTGCCCCAGAGTAGATGTTGGGATCTCTGCTTTCAGTGCCAAATAAACCTGGTGGGAGCCCGGCGAGGTTGAAGAGCCCTGCGGTGCTCCAGGGACATGTTTTGGAGGTGTCCCTGGGAGTGGCTGGGACTTGGATTGCTAACATAACTCTATTGGGCAGGGGGGAAGGAATCTTCAGTAACTCCTTGAAAACAACTGGCGCACTTAGGGCATTAGCATGGGGCTTGATAAGGTTTCTCTTCCACTTGATAGGTCTGCAACCGCGAGCAATTTCAAATGACTCCTTTAAGTTTCTTTGGTATAAAATAGAGGTAACAGTCTCTTCTTCATCTTTGGCACAAGACTATCTGCAAAGCCTTCTGCTTCCATCTCTATGGGAAGTACTTAAGTGATCCGTCTGCTTTGAGGGTTCCTGTGCTCCCCTTCCCTTCTCTGTCTATCATGACGACCTCTTGGTCAGCTCATTAAAACACTCACTGTCTCAGTCTGCTTTGGGGGGAACGAGGCTTTGCTTGATTCAGGAATTGCAAATAAGAGTCAACCGAGGTATTAAAACTAAACTTTTGTAATTCTAAAATAACCTTTTGAGCCTGGTGGTGGTGGTGGTGGTGGTGGTATACACCTTTAATCCCAGACAGAGGTAGAGGGATCTCTGTAAATCTGAGGCCAGCCTGGTCTGCATAGTGAGTTCTAGGACAGCCAGAGCTACATAAAGAGACCCTGTCTCAAAACAACACAAAAACCCTAAAGATTGTTTTTATTTTATGTGTATGAAGCATTAGCCTACATGTATGTGGGAGTACCATGTGTGTCCTTAGTGCTCTCAGAAGCCAGAAGAGAGCATTGGACCTCAAGATTGGAGTTACAGATGGTTGGGAGCTGCCATATGGGGCCTGGGAACTGAACTTAGGTTTCTTATAAGAGCAACCAGTAAGTACTCTGAACCATTGAGCCATCTCTCCAGGCGCTAGATTTTGTTGCTTTTAGTAATGTTTCTATTTTTTTCCCATCAATTCAAGTTTATTTCAGGGCAAACATTTGATCCATTCATAGTTCGCTTGCTACTAGTTAATATCTTAATCTGGTTGAGCAAATTACCTTAGATAAAACCCATACTCTGCCCTTTCCTTGTTCCGGGAGAAAGGGCTGAACTTAGTGTGTCCTGGTCAGGCCTGGGATAAAAAAAAAATGTTACGTGAATGGTACAGGTGTCTCAGGTCTCATCTGGCCTTTACCAGCCTCAGAGGTGACTGCCCCATGTCAGCTTGGCTACTGCCTGTCCTGTGGGTGAAACTGGTCTATGAAGTAATTCATGGCATGGTCAGTGCCTTTGTGGGCTGGCACCTTCTGTTTGTCTGAACCCATGCCACAGCCACACCCTCACACAGCAGGCCCATCCAAGTTCCTTCTCTTACCCTTGTCTCCTGGGGACCCACAAGGCTTAGGTGTAAGGATCCAGGCATTATGCTGGCCTTCCCCTGTCACCTGGCAGAATGCACTCAGGCAGTGCCCTGGTCAGCCCAGGGTTCCATGGTTGCATAGTAGTCTGCACGCAGGTGCAAAGGACCCCTTTGAAAGAAAGACCCTGCCTCCACTTATGCTGTCTATCCATTCTTCTCTTTTCCCATTGTTCCTCTGGGGCAGACTTTTCCTGTCTCCCTCTTCTCTTCTGTCCTCTGTCTCTGTGTTTCTTTACCTCTTTTCTCTTTTCCTTCCCCCCTCCCCTTTCTAATAAAACTTCTCACTTAAGCTCTGTTTGTCCCTGCCCTCCCTGCCCTCGGTCACCCTCACCTGCCTGCCATGGAATCCGCCAAGGTTCCCCTCGGGCTTTATCCTAACATTCGGTTCTCAAGGCAAAAATCACCTCTGTGTCTTCTCCAGTCTGGGATACCCGTGAGGGCTTCCTGGCGGGACTGGTGACTTTGGGAAATGACACTTTCTGCCTTGACCATGATGCTTCATGACCTCATCTCAACCCAGAAAGAGAAGTTGGTAATGGCTGGTTGGTATCCCCTCACTTCCTGGTGTCTCCGGCAGCCCTAGGTAGAAGGCGCAGGCTTCTTCCCGTCTGAAAGAGCATTTCCCTTGGTCACTTCCTCCCTCTTCGGGAGGTGATTATTCCCCTCACCCTAGGATAGAAGGACTCAGGAAACAGAAGTCGGCTTATCATAAGGAAACAGGGCTCTTTCAAAGACCTTGCATCTGTTATGAGGAAAAAGGGGGTGTGTAGGACCACAGTGATTTGCCCCATCAGCAAAAAGGCCAGGGCCTTGTGGTGGAAGAGACCAGCTACTGAGAAGGTGGCAGGGAGCCCTGGATACTCTTGGAGTTGGGTACTAGATGCTTCGGAGAAGCTGGTGGCTGCTCCGTGTGGTGCGTGGCTCTCTGATCTTTTCCTTGCTCTTGCGTGTAGAAGCACCAGGTAGCCGGATAAAGAAGCTGACCCAAGTAGGAGAAGGCTGTAGAGTCATCCCACCCATGTGGTTCATCAAGGATTCGCTGCGTAATGTCAGCATTGACTGAAGGAACTAATTCTGGCTGTTACTATTGACTCATCCTTTGACTTGTTGAGTTCCTGTTTTTTTATAAAAGTCTGGGTTTTCCTCCTCTGAATATGTCTGATGATCAATAAACAGATACCCAGCCGGGCGTTGGTGGCGCACGCCTTTAGTCCCAGCACTCAGGAGGCAGAGGCAGGCGGATCTCTGTGAGTTGGAGGCCAGCCTGGACTACCAAGCGAGTTCCAGGACAGCCTCCAAAGCCACAGAGAAACCCTGTCTCGAAAAACCAAAAAAAAAAAAAAAAAAACCAGATACCCAGATATTTACAGTGTAGAACAATAGGCTTCACGTTGTCTTTGTGAGGGGTGGCTACGGGGCGTGGCTAAGGTCTTGACTATGCTAAGGAACTGCCGCATCATTGAACTTTAACTCTAGCTCTTGTTTTTTGAGATCAGGCCTTGCTGTTTCGGCTGATGGCCCAGAAACACAGTAATAAGAATACTTTCAGAGAAAAATGAAGACAAGGTGGGGAAAGGTAGTCGCTGGTTTGCTACAGTGGTGGGACACCTCGTGAGCCAGATTTGTACACATTTCACCCCTGGCCTTTGCCAAGTACGTTGGCCCCTAACTCTGCCAAGGATCCTCCATTGTCCTCTGTGGCATTTGTGTGTGTGCGCTTCTAGAAATTTCTTCCAACGGCCACATCTGAAATGGAGCTAAGGATTCTGCTGCCAGATATTGCTTTAGGGGGTAGAGTTTGAGTATGAAGGCTCCCCATTCCCCCATTCCATTCTGTTCCATTTATTTATTTACTTATTTATTTATTTGTTGTTTTTATGAGGCGGGGTCTCTCTGCATAGGCCTTGGCTGCCCAGGAACTCGCTATGTGGACCAGGCAGGGCTCAGATTCTGAGCTTCTCAAACCACCCCTGGCTCCTCTCTCCAATCTCTTAACCATTGCTTAAGTGAGCCCTACCTCTCTGCGGGATGTGCCTGTCTTCCTGAGGTCTCTTAGCCAAGTGACAGACCAGCCCAACTGGAATGAGCCTGTCATTAGAATAGTTTACAATGTTCAGTCTTGACCCAGGTCGGAGAAATAGCTTTCCCTAACGGGCCTCCACAGAGCCCAGAGCAAGTTTTCTGTAGCAGCAGGACCCAAGTCTTTATTTTTTAGACTCTTTAACTGCCTGACCTGATCTGTGACTTAGTTCTAGTTAAGAGGCTGTGTTAAGAATTAGAAACCAGGCATGGTGGTGCCCACCTTTAATGCCAGCACTCGGGAGGCAGAGGCAGGTGGATCTCTTTGAGTTCGAGGCCAGCCTGGTCTACAAGAGCTAGTTCCAGGACAGCCTCCAAAGCCACAGAGAAACCCTGTCTCAAAAAACCAAAAAAAAAAAAAAAAAAAAGATAGAAAAAGAAAAAAAGATGTCTAAGAGGTCACCCAGTAATATAATGTGGCCTGGTTTTGACTGGACTGTTGGTGTGTGGCACAGGCATACCTCGTTCCTTTCACCCCCTCGGTAGAAAAGCTGAGGTGGTGAGAATTAAGAGCTCAGTGGTGGAGCCTTTGCTTAAGGAGCATGAGGCCTGGGTTTCTTCTCTAGTACAGCAAAGAACAAGAAGGGGGGGGGATAGAAGCTGGGAAGAGAATGGCCATGCACAGGGCCTGCAGCCCCAATGAACACCCACCTAGTCACCAGCATGGAAGGCTTGTGTTTAGATGGGGACACAGAATCTTCCAGGCTGTAGCCTAATTAATGTATGTATCTTGTTGCGACTATTTCTGAGAGACTCTCTCCCCTCACCTCAGTGCTGGAGATAAATCCAGGACTTTGTGTACGCTAGCTAGGCAAATACTCTACCACTGAGCTATATCCAGCCCATTTTAAAAAGTGTGTGTGTGTCTCTATGTCTCTGTGTGTGTGTGTCTGTGTGTACCTCTATGTCTGTATGTCTATATGTGTCTATGTCTGTGTGTATCTGTGTGTGTCTCTATGTCTGTGTGTTGTCTGTGTGTGTGTGCCTATGTGTGTCTGTGTTATCTGTGTCTGTGCGTCTGTGTCTCTATGTCTGTGTTATCTGTGTGTGTGTGTCTGTATGTCTGTATCTCTGTGTCTGTGTGTCTGTGTATGTCTGTATGTCTATGTGTCTGTGTGTCTCTATGTCTGTGTGTTATCTGTGTGTGTCTGTATGTGTCTATGTGTCTGTGTGTCTCTATGTCTGTATTATCTGTGTGTGTGTGTCTGTATGTCTGTATCTCTGTGTGTCTGTACGTGTCTGTGTGTGTCTCTGTCTGTTATCTGTGTGTGTCTGTGTGTATCTGTGTATGTCTGTGTGTGTCTCTATGTCTGTGTATATCTGTGTGTGTCTCTATGTCTGTGTGTGCATACACATTGCCTACGGAGGCCAGAAGAGGGTGTCTGGTCTCCAGGAGCTGGAACCACAGGGAGCTGTGAGTCGTCCACCTCTCTTCACAGTTGATTGATTGTTCCACACCCGGCCCCGCCCCCATTCATTTTATTATAAGTGGTCAGTAATCATAACAGCACCAATGAATAACAGCTTGTAGTAAATCTGTAATGCATGGGGGCTGGAAGCTCAGCCAGGCCTTACAGTCAGGAGATAAGGAAGTCACCAGTAAAGGAGGTTGGTTTCTATGTCTGTGCACCAGATTTCTCCAATGTGACATTGTGAAAGAGACATTTGGCCTTCATTTCCTGGCGTACAACTACAAAAAAAACCCTTGGACTCTCCAAAGGATAAGAAGAAAAAGGATAGTGTCCTGGTGTCGGCGATAGGGTGAGATTTTCTCTGGGGGAGAAAGATGTCAGACAGTATTGACTTGTCTAGTAGACTGGAAGGGGAAGTTGGGATAATGGTTGTCAGTGATGGGCGTGACCACACCCAGTGACTGGGACTGTTTCATGATTCGTATGCATGCCCCGAGCCCTCTGTTTACCTCCAAACCTGTGTCAGGACCCCAAAGGTGAGCTTGGATTAGGAAGAGAGTTTACTAGGTCTCTTCGGTTTTTTTCCCTAATGTGTTGGCAGGAACCAAATTAGTTTTCTCTTTCACTACTACCTGTTTCTTTACCTGCTGACTGGGACAGGTAGCTGAACCTTGCTTGTGAAGGGCTTCCAGGATTTGACCTAACAGCTCTGGATCTGATGCCTCCTCAGCAAGTGTGACAGGTCACTGTAGGGGCCCAGCTCCTGTACTAGGGCCCAACATAACTGTTCCCAGAGTTTTAAGTTAACAGTGCTTGAGCTGCTGTCCCCTGCCCAAAGGGGGGAAAAACTATGCTCAGTCAACTCTTCCCTCCCCCATGGCCAATCAAAAACAAGAAACGATAGAGAGCAGAGAGATGAGACTAATGCAGAGCCACCTTGCTTCAAGGCTCCGTCTTGAACTTTAGGTTTACATAGAGGGAGACTAGAGGGAGGAGAGGTGTGTAATTAGAGTCCTGGTCTAGGTGTGTCTTGTTCATCTCCTGTCTCCCAGGTGATCTAAGGAAGTCCTTGTTGCTTGAGGGGACCGAGTAGTTAGTTAGTTCTCCAGAAGGCAGCCTCACCTTCACAGAGAGCTGCCCTCACCTGGGGAAAGGAGCCCTCTGTCCTGTCGGGGTGGGGGTTGGGGAGGAGGTTCTGTCGTTTCTAGAATACAAAGGGTCACAGGAGGGAAAGTTAAGGACAATGATTCATCTCTGTTGCCTTTGGCAAAAAAAAAAAAAAAAAAAAAAAAGCAAGGTGGCCTAGAGTGGAAGGCAGAGGCCAGACTTTCACCTGCTCCTCCTCCCCGGAGGCTCAGGCGAGGGGTTGCTGCTTTTTAGCAAAAGTGACTTCTTGGTGCCTTGTGTCCTTACTGGACCACGCCGGAATAGAGCCATTCATCCTAACCGGAACTGAAGCTTCAAAGGAGCAGTTTCCTTAAAGGACCAGTTTTCTCCTCAAAATTGGAGGTTCCAGTCTCCTCCAGTTGGCTCCAGGAGGAAGTGCTTTCCACTTTAGCCCTCAGAAAAACACTGATCTGGTGGATGCTAATCAGGTGTTCTTGTTTTTCTGTTTCCTTGTTCCCGCCTCACAAACCCCACCAGTTCTGCACGGCCCCGGGGAGGGCGGGTAGCTCCTCATTCCTTTCAGAAAGGAAAAAAAAAAAAAAAAAAAAACGGAGACTTGCTCTCCATTCATGAATCTCACACTAAACTGTGACTAAATTCACTGTGGGCTTTTTTTTTTTTTTGACAGTGCACAGTGAAGCCTGTAGAAAACCCAGTTAGGGCAGGGTTCTGGGGTGGGGGACTTTGGGAGGGTGCAGGACAGGGCATCCAGAGGGGTGAGGCTTTGACTCCTCTGAGTCCCTCACCCTGAACACCCTTCCATCTAGGGCGGTAGTTCTCGGTGCTTCTCAATCTTCCTAAGGCTTGGGCCCTTAATACAGCTCCCCCTGAATGAAAGGTTGTAGGGTTAGGAGGTTTGGTGAACCCCACCACCCCACATTTGTGTTCTGTGTGTGTGTGTGCACGCAGAACAACTTACAGGAGCTGGTTCTGTCCATCCATCTGCCGTGTACGACGTTTTGGGGATTTAACTCGGGTGTCTGTCATCTCACCTGTACACAGGTACCTGATACTTTTGACAAGGCCTCGTCCTAAGAGGTTTTCCCAAAGGCGCACCTGCCGTCATATGAAAATGCCTGTGAATGTGATTGTTCGGTACAGCACTGTATATAACTGCAGTCCAAACGCTCAGAAGAGAGAGTTAGAACGCCTTCGGTCGAGGTGGTGAGCTGCTGAGCTGCTGAGCTGCTGTAACCACACTGGAAGGAGCCCTTGCCTTTAGCTCTCTGACAATGGAGACAATAGATTCCCAAAGTACTGGAATATCCCCCCCCCCCGGGATCTTACTTTAGGACTGTGACACCCGAGGGCAGCCGGAGGAAGAACTTGTAATCCAGGAAGGAGTTTCCCAATTGGGCTGCTTGTCAGTCCACCTTGCAAGACAGATTGGAGCCAAGACAATGATGGACCAAGTGATTCCGGAGACACACCTCGACCAGGAATACTTAGGTATGCAGTCCTCCTGACCTTTGTTTCAGCTAAACTGCTTGTCAGTCACCTGAAGATGGACATGAGGAGCTACTGGACCTCTTTGCTTATTCCTTTTCCCAATGTAGCTACTTGAAGAAATATTCTCTGCTTTTCACTCTGTTTGTCTCTTTATTTGGCTTATGGTGGACAGGTGGCCAAGCCTAGCTTATTAGGATTGCTGGGGCCTAGTCTTTGACACTGGTAACATTTAATATACAACTGTAAAAATAAGTAAGACTAGCCAGGCGTTGGTGGTGTCTGCCTTTAATCCCAGAACTCGGGAGGCAGAGGCAGGCGGATCTCTGTGAGTTCGAGGCCAGCCTGGTCTACAGAGTTCCAGGACAGGCTCCAAAGCCACAGAGAAATCCTGTCTCGAAAAACAAACAAACAAACAAACAAAAAGTAAGACTTCTATAGCCTGATACAAAGCGTTTTCTAATATTTACTATTATTATTATTACTGCCAGAAATTGAGCCCTAGACACAAATCCAGAATACAGAACACACACACATTTTTTTTTCTTTTTTAAAGACAAGATCTCATATAGCCCAGCCCTCTGTGTAGTGGAGTGTGACTTTGAATTCATAATCTTCCTGCTTCCAGCAGTGACCTACAGGGTTGGTGGAATCTGTGGTTTTGACTGCACTCTGGGTGAACCTTTCACTTAGTGAAGACTTATGAGTTTTGCTAAATGTACAAACAAAAGAGGAAAACTGTAGAGTTGGAAGAATGTGCTGGGCCGGGCACAACATGGAGTAGGAATAAAAAAGCTAAAGCTTATTTCAAAAGAATAACACTCAATTGAAGAGCATGGAAGGCAGGATTAACGGAAGTAAGTTTTAAGTAGGGGTGTTTTGACCTAAACCCTCAGACAAAAAGGAGGAAACAAAAAGGAGTTAATTATCAGTGGTGGCGTTGTTCTCTGCAGTGACCTGCCTGCCATGTTCTAGGACTAAGTACTCATTACCTGGCGGTAATGGGAAGCAGACTTCTCACTGTGAGAGGAGAGGCACAGATACCACAAGTGGGAAATGAAGTAAGTGCGGTAGTGCTGGACTGAAATAGGAAGTATAGAATAAATGTGTGCCCCGCTCTCTCCCCCTGTACACAGACACACACACACACACACACACATAGATACACAGACACACATATACATACACACACAGATACACAGACATACAGACACAGACACACACATACAAACACACACATACACACAGACACACATACACACAGACACACAGATACACAGACACACATACACAGACATACATATACATACACACACATACAGACACACACAGACACACATACACAGACACACATATACACTCAGACACCCATACACACACATACACAGTTACACAGACACACATATACACTCAGACACACAGACACAGATACACAGACACACATACTCACACACAGATACACATACATACATACATATACACATAGACACTCATATACACACACATACTCACACAGATACACATACATACTCACACATATCTTTCTCTTCCTCATTTAACACACACACATGCACCCCTTTTCTCCCCCCCTTTTACACATACCTCTTTCCCCCATTCACACACCCCTTTTTCTCTCCCCCCCTTTTACACACACACACACACACACACCTCTTTTCCCCTCTTCCCCTCCCCCATACCCATTGCTTTTTCAGATTGTTTTGACAGACTCCGAATGGCCTCAAACTCCCAATCCCCCTGCCTCAGTCCTCTAAGTACTGGAATTATAAATGTATAGCTCTTTACTGGCATACCCTGCTTGAATTTGTGATTTTCAACATATAAAGGTGTGTGTGTGTGTGTGTGTGTGTGTGTGTGTGTGTGTGTGTGTGAGCTTCTGCTGAGAAACCCAGACACAATGATGGTCCAGGAGCAAAGCAACGCATCTGCCTCGAGCCCAACTTGGTGTCCATAAATGAGTCTTTTCCATTGCGGATAGCTAGAGCTTGCTGGGTAAATGGCCAGTTCCAGGGTTTGGGGCTGGAGCAGGGAAAATGTAACATGCACCTGCACCTGAAACGTATTATCGCACCAGACAATGGGAAAGTCTTCTAAGAATGGTGAAGACCGATGAGGAGACCGGTTTGGGGACCGTTGGCTACAGGATGCTGCTGGGGAGAGGGAGGCATCCATCACATCCACTTTTCTTCCCTCTGGTGCTGGGTCTGCCAGTTTCAGGAGTTCCCTTGCCCAAGGTTGCATGAGCCACTGCGGTTAAACTCAGTGGGACACAAAACAAAAAGGCATGAGGGGGCTACTCTGGGAAAGGACCCAAATTCCCTTCCTAACACTCATATAGTGGCTCACAGTCATCCCAACTGCGGTTCCCAGGGATCCAATGCCCTCTTCTGGCCTCTGAGGGTACCAGGCACACACAGAACACAGGCACACATTCAGGCAAACCACACATATGCATAACATTTTTAAAATCTGTAAAAAAAAAAGACGTGAGCATGAACGATGAAGGGATTCGTAGGGGAGAGGAGGGACTGAAGGGGGTGATGGGAGGGGATAGGGGAGTAATCAGAATACATTGTCTATATGAGGTTGTCAAAGAACAAGCTTAATAAAAGAAAGGGTTTGAGGAACTCCCTCTGGGCAAATCTGATAGTTTTTACAATAATAACAGCAGTCGACGGCTGATGTACTAAATGAATCGGGATTCCAAGCATCCATGCTCCTGTAAGTAAACAGTCAACTGGAGGGAACGCTCTCCCCACTGTAGCTAGAGTGCGCAGAAGAGTGGAGAAGAAATGACGGAAGTCGTTGGCACGACGAAGGACTGAAGGACAGGACACCCTATTTTGATACACTTGATGGATTTACCAACCACAAAGGTAAAAATAACACCCGTGTGACCGAGGCTGACAGTGCTGGGATCACGTGCCACTTGGCACCTGCACTGAGAAGGGGGTGAGGTCGTCTTTTGGAATGTGACTGTCAGACAAACGCACAGCTTCAGTCTACCTGAGAAGACACCAGGAGATGCCAAGCTGGGAAGGGAACTCTAAAACAGGAGGCCTTGACTTCTGAAAGACGCTGAAGTTACTAAAGACAACTAAGAAGTAACCCGGGTTTTAGAAAGCCAGAGAAGCCAGGTGGTGGTGCACGCCTTTAATCCGAGCGCGCTTGGGAGGCAGAGGCAGGAGGATCTCTGAGTGAAGGCCAGCCTGGCCTGTTAGAGGAATTCCAGGACAGCCAGGGCTACACGGAGAAATCCTATCTCAAAGAAAGAAAGGACAGAAGGGAGAGAGAGACAGAGGGAGGGAGGAAGGGAGGGAGGGAGGGAGGGAGGGAGGGAGGGAGGGAGGGAGGGAGGGAGGCAAGAGAGGTTAGTCAAACACAACCAATGTCTGATCCTTATTTGAATTTAGGAAAGTTTGTTTCTGATGATGGACATTATCTGATAGGTAGAAAATATAACCGGTTGGTGGGTTAGAGAACAGCTTGGAAGCGGCGGTCCTAAGTTTGTTACGAAAGGAGAAGTTGTGTTCCTAGGGACACACACTGAGGTTTTTAGGGGCCAATGGACAATGTATCTGCAATACGCTATCACATAATTCAAGGAAAATAAAATGCACATGTATGAAAAGGATTGAGTAGGGGCGGAGAGATAGCTTGATGGTTAAGAGAGCTTGCTGCTTTTCTGGGGGACTCATGTTCAGTTCCCAGCATCCGCATTGGGTGGCTTCCAACTGTTTATAATCCCAGCTTGACTGGATCCGATGCCTTCTTTTGGCCTTCTCAGGCACAGGCAAATAAACAATAAGTCTTTTTATTTTTAAGAGGGGAAGGGGAGAAAAGTAGCTGTGTGTGTGTGTGTGTGTGTGTGTGTGTGTGTGTGTGTGTGTGTGTAAAATCATGAACCAAACTGTAGAGTCTGGGTGGTAAGGAGTATGGGAGTCTTTGTACTATTCTTAAGTTTTTCTGTATGGCTGAAATTACATTAGTGTTAAACATTATGAGCTGGAGGCCAGGCATGGTGGTGTACATCTTTAATCCCAGCACTCAAGAGACAGAGACAGGCAGAGGGTCTCTGTTGAGTTCCAGGCCAGCCAGGGCCGTACAGTGAGATCCTGTCTCCAAAAAGTAATTTCTTTCCATTTAATGAGGAGCCCCTCTTGAGATGGGGAGATGGCTTGATGGGCACAATTTTTTGCTTGGTGCACAAGCGTGACCTGAGTTTGATCCCCAGAACCCACCCTAATGCAATGGAGTGCGCCCATAATTCCAGCGCTCCTGCAAAGAGACAGGAAAGAATCAGCCCAAAGTTTGCAGACCGCCTGGCCTGGGAGACTGTCCCAGAAACAAGGTGGAGGGAGAGAAGACACCCCCCCGTGTGTGTGTGTGTGTGTGTGTGTGTGTGTGTGTGTGTGTGTTACAGAAAAAAACCGAGGGAGGGGAAAAAAGGGCTTTTGTCTTTTTAAAAGCATTTATTTGAGAGGGTGTCCATGCCCACTTAAACCATGAGATAAAATAAAATTTTCTCCCCTAATTGCTTCTGTGGAGCATTTGGTCACAGTGACTATCCAATTCCCAGCACCAGAAGGAAAACCAAGTGTGTAGAGATGTGAATGTGTTTCATCAATCAAACAACAGGGCAAAACCGATCAAAATGGTCACCTAAGTGTGCCGAGTGCTGGCAGAAAGAATGGAAGTGGACATCTAATGAGCCTGTCCAAAGCAGGCATTTTATCTCTTTATTTACCTAAGTAATGGGCTGCTAGAACTTGAATGCTAAAAGAGCATTCAAGTACCAAGGACAAAATGTAATTGTTCTCTCTGAAGTAAATGTTTGACCCTAGAAGCAGAAACACCTTTAGAAAAAGACAATGGAGCGTATCATTCTGGGACTACCCAGCCCTGTTTCTAAGTCATTTTGGCTACAGAGTTCAGAGCTCCTGATCAGGCAAGTTAGAACACTGATCATAAAGGCTGATCCAGGAGTCATATGATGTCTGGGGTTTACAGCAAACAATAAAAGTAAGAAGAAACCTTGAGGATGTAGGTGAAGGAAGTCAGTTCAAGAGTCAACAGCTCAGAAAAAAAAAAAAAAGAGTCAACAGCTCTGGGGCCAGTCGGGTATCTCAGTGGGTAGAGCGCACTTTGCACAAAGCCCTATGTTCCGTTCCTACCTCAGTAGGGAACCAGGTGTGGTGTTAAACGCCAGTAACCCCTGCACCCTGTAGGCCCAGGCAGGAGGACTGTCATGAGTTCAAGGCCAGTGTCTGTCTGTGTTATATAGTGAATTCCCACACCATCCCGAGCTATAGGGAGCAAAGAGGAAAAGGGAAAAAATATATATATAATAAAAAGTTAAAAGAGCAAACAAAAACACTCTGGGAATGACAGTGTCACTGTATCTGGGATCACTCATCTATCTTTAGGATTTCCTGAAAGTAAGAGGGCTGGCTGGCTAGGAGCATGCACTGCACTCCCAGAGGGGGGAGAAGTCACGGCACCTCCATGGCAACTGGCAACCAGGTGCAGCCCGGTTCCAGAGGATCCAAAGTCCTCTCCCGGCCTCCGAGGGCACCAGACACACATGTGATTCACAGACACACATGCAGGCAAGACACCCACACGCCCAAAAAAAAACTTTTTAAATTAAAAACAAAAAAGGAATTTGGGCTGCAGAGATGGTTCACAGGTTAAGATGGTCCTGCTCCTGCAGAGACTCAAGTTCAGTTCCCAGCATGCACCTTGGGAGGATCGTGACCACCATCTCCAAGGACACCTATGCTCTTGTGCGTGTACCCCACCCCCCACACATACACATAGGCACATAATTTAAAAAATAACGTAGTTTACTTGGTACAGGGCTTGCTTCACGGGCACGGAATCCTGAACTTGATGCCTAGGTAAAGCAGGTTTGCAGACCTAGCGCTTGGGAGTAGAGGCAGGGGGGGTCAGAGGTTTAGGTCTCTTTCAGCCAGTGGAATACATGAAGATTTGTATAACAAAAAGTGCTCTCTTCTCTTTAAAACTGGTACATATGTGTATGTTAGTACTCTTTAAATATGTTAAAGGGCCTTCAAAATGTAAAATCTAAAACGGGCTGGGCGGTGGTGGCAAATGCCTTTAATTCCAGCACTTGGGAGGCAGAGGCAAGAGGATCTCTGTGAGTTCGAGGCCAGTCTGGGCTAAGGAGCTAGTTCCCGGATAGGCTCCAAAGCTACACAGAGAAGCCCTGTTTCGGGGGAGAAAAAAAAAGATGAGGACCGGATGGTGGTGTCGCACACCTTTGATCCCAGCACTGACAGGCAGAAGCAGGAGGATCTCTGTGAGTTGGAGACCAGTCAGGACAGCCAGGGCTGTTATACAGTGAAACCCTGTCTCGGAAAAAACAAACAGGAGGAAATATAAAGGAATCATCTTGACTGTTACAGGACACCCTGTGGAGACAATTGAGATCACTCCCACTTACAAAGACACCACTGGACTGGAAAGCCTTCCTTTAATTCAGTTCCTTCCTTTATAGGAGTGCACTAACTTTACCCACATATTTATAAATTCGTTTTTGATTAAAATAACCCCGCCCTATTTTCACACATCGTAATGCTTAGCCTATAAAAAAAACAATTGTCAAGGTAAGTGTGGCCTCACCTTGGAGCTGGAGAGATGTCTCAATGGTTAAGAGCACTGGCTGCTCTTCCAGAGGTCCTGAGTTCAATTCCCAGCAACTACATGGTGGCTCACAGCCATCTACAATGAGACCTCGTGCCCTCTTCTGATCTGCAGTCATACATGCAGGTAGAACACCGTATACATAATAAATAAATCTTAAAAAAAAAGTGTTTGATTTTTTTTCCCACATCTGGTCACCTCCTTCCAGGCTGTGACGGCATTTGTTCCTGTTTTCGGTAAGGGGCAATGAATAATTGGTCTCCAGCGCCATTAGGGGTGCACACCGGCTAATGGCTAACCACCCCTGGCTCTTGGATAGAGAACCCTGCCTGGAAGGCCTTAAATGCCACAGAGTCTCATTTCAGATCTTCCCTCAGCAGATTGTACACATCTATGATAATTAGGAACCAGGCTCCCAAGTCTAATAGTAAGAGACGGTGCACAATGTGTAACCCATGCGACCGGTTACTACTCAGTCATTGCAGTGACGTGACGTGACAGTACTCCCCAGGTAGTAGCCACCCTTAATATTTTCTTGAGACTCATCCCAAAATATGTCGGAAATCAAACATTTTATGAAAAATTACGTTGTATTGTCTTTACAGTGTGTGCATGTTTGTTTGTGGGTGCACAGATAGTCCTGGGCCATGTGGTGTAGCACACACATGACGGTGGTTTCTTAAGATGGACTGGCCTTGCCAGGTGTGGTGGTGCACACCTTCAATTCCAGCACCTGGAAAGACAGAGGCAGATACACTTCTCTGAGTCCCAGACCAGCCTGGCCTATGTAGTGAGTTCTAGACCACCCAGGGGTACATAGGGAGATCTGGTCTTTAAACAAACAAACAAACAAACAAAAAAACAAGAGTGACCAAGTGACCTAGGGACATCACATCTGTTCTGGATAAGGACTGCATGATGCCTGCATAAAGAAGTCACCTAACAGCCTGCTTCAGAATGTGTTACCATTGCTAATTGAGGAATCAGGCTGGTTTCCTATACTCTGTCACACAGCAACAGCAAATTATGTCCTTCCCTGTGTTTTTTGGATTATTTTTTGTTAATTACTTTTGTAAACTTCTAACCTGGAGGCTCATTTGTCAAACTTTAAAGGTGTGTGTATGTGTGTGTGTGAACATGCATGTCCTCTAGTGCCTGAGGAGGCAGAAGAGGGCATCAGATCCTATGGAGCTGGACTTGGGTGGCTCTGAGCCTTGTGATAGACATGCTAAGAGCTGAACCAGGTCCTCTTTGAGAGCAGCAAGAGCCCGTACCCACCCGATCATTTCTCCAGCCCTTACCTCACTCAACACCTGATTGTCCCTTCTTGCAGCTGCACGACATCTTCTCTAAGTCTATGCCTCAGGTAAACTGGTCAACTGAAGGGGAGAACCAAACTGTGTCCTGACTGTCACACAGGCCCCTCCCATATCCTACACCCATGTGATATAAACACATACATACTTATATCTCTTTGTCATTTCTGGGTTCTGGGTTCTAACTGGAAAGGCTTTCCTTACTCCAACACCACACAGTTCTTTGCGCCTCCTTCTACAACATGGAGTTGCACCCCTTACACCACCATTAGAATACACTTCCATGCATTTAAAATAAATTTTTTTCCAGGGGATAGCCCGGGCTGTCCTGAAACTTATTATGTAGACCAGGCTGGCCTTCCTTGAACTCACAGACATCCACTTGCCTCTGCCTTTCAAGTACTGGGATTAAAGGCCACCACTGCCCGGTCTACATTTCAAAAATTTTTTAAAGAAGAATTTTATTTTTTATTAAAGTAAATACAGTGCTAGCTTTGTGTGTTTAATTTTTGTACAGAATCACACTGTGTTGTCCAGTCTTAGCCTCGATTTCAGCTCAAGCCATCTCTCTGCCTCATCCTTAGGAGCTGGGCCAGTCTTTGTGCTTTGTCTGTGTTTGTTTGAGACCGGGGACTCTGTTATGTAGCTCTGGCTGTCTTAGAGCTCCTCAGGTGTAGACCAGGCTCACCTGGAACTCATGCTCCCGAGGAGGCCTGCCTGGGGTAGCATGTGCTCTGTGCCGCTGGCCCTCAGCTCTTTCTCTCGCTGTGATGGGCAGGAAGTCCTGAGCAATTCCTGGCTCAGCAATTCTCAACCCGTGGGTCAGGATTCCTTTGGGGGTCAAGCCACCCTTTCACAGGGGTCACTTATCAGATATCCTGCATACCAGATATTTACCTTGTGATTCACGACAGTAGCAAAATTACAGTAATGAAGGAACGACAAAAATAATTTTTTCCCATAACCTGAAAAATTGTGTTAAAGGGTCAAAGCTTCAGGAAGGTTGAGAATCGCTGACCTGCCTCCTCTCAGGTATCGTCTGCTGCTGCTGTTCCCAGGTTTTGGGGACTCAGTTGCCTTCAAAGGAAGCCAGCACAGAGGCAGGGACAGCCGAGCTGCTGAAGCAGTGGTGGAGTGCTCCCTCCCTCGGTATGTGTGAGGCTGGAGTCCCATCCCTAGAACATTAAAAGAATAAAAGGAAGAGGGGGACCAGGGAGCTGGCTCAATGGCTGGAAATAATTGCTGTGTCAGCATAAAGACTTGGTTAGATTCCCCTCGACTACCTATGTAAAAAGCAAGGTATGGTTGTGGGTGCCTCTAACCCCAGAGTTGATGGGTTGATCCAGAGAGCCTGAGTACTGCAGAGTCCTCCAACTTCAGGTTCAGGAAGGGGAGCCCCCGCCCCTGCCCCCGCCCAGTCTCAAGGGACTTAGGCTGAAAGAGGCAGAGGCAGACACCGGCTCTGGCTTCCCACTGTGAAGCATGTGCACACTACATATACATATATATACACACTACCCCCACATATATACACAAGCTAGCGTGAACAGCAAAAAGACGGAGAGGGGGGTGGGGTGAAAAATCTAGTGACTTCCGGCATTGAGATCTTACGTGACTCTGATCTTAGGTCAAAGTCAGACCTTCCAGAATGTCAGGATTTCCTCGGAGACCCAAGACCTCTATTGCCCAATACCTTGTTTTATGTCTTTTAGCTAGGTCACATTTTGGATGTGCTGTTCAAGTTATCTCGGCTTTAAAAAAACATATAATCTATACGATAATCTGGATATTAAATGAGAGTATTTAAATGTTTTAGAAACTGTGAAACACAAAGGTACAAGATGTTGAAAGTAGCCAAACCGTGGCCTTTAATCCCAACATTGGGAGGCAGAGGCAGGTGGATCTCTGTGAGTTCGAGGCCATCCTGGTCTACAGAGGGAGTTCCAGGACAGCCAGGGCTACACAGAGAAACCCTGTCTCGCGCCTCCCCTGCCCCCCCACCGTGTTGAAAGTAAAGTGTTATAAAGACTGGGCTCAGTGGGTTACTTGTTTTGTTCTGTCTCCGAGATTCTGCAGATGGTGGTTAGAGGAAAACCATCGATCTCACCCAAAATCGGATCATTTATTCTGAGCCAAACGTGAAAACTGACGGTGGCACTGGGGATCCTGAATTTGGGTAGACCCCAGAGACACGTACCCATGGAAGTCAGTTATCACGTGAACTCTTTAGTCACAAACTAAGCTATAAACGAATGCACCAAAATTCATTGGTGGGGCTGGAGGGAGGTAGGCGAGGAAGAGCAGATCAGGGGAAGCCTCGGCTCTGACGGCATCTGTAGGGCTGGTGGAAGGGGTGGGTCTAGAGACTTTAACTGATAGTCAGAAGTAGGGTGGGTCAGATACAGAGCAGGTGATAACTGGCAATTGGCCGGACGAGATAGATCAGGATAATCCGGCTATGGGGTCTGGGGTCTGTATGTATCGTTCCAACTCTTCCCCAATCAGGACGTTCATAAATCCGGCAACCAGGTCTTCGGAAACACAACACTGTGTGTGTGGCCTTTCCGGGGGAGCTTCAGTCCACATCACCCAGGTAAATACAAGTGACTTCTTACCGTGGGAAAAGCGCGGCTGTTGGGGATGGCGCTGGCTGGTACAAAGAGCTCAGAAGCAGCCCGGCCAGCTACCTGTCTATTCATACCTGAGGAATTATCCTTATGTTGCTAATGTGGATAAACTCAACATGGCTGACTGGCCCTTGAAAAAAAAAGACAATAGCCAGCTTCCCCTTCAGCAGCTGGAGGTCCTCAGACCTGAGATGTGACGAGATGATTACAGGTCCCCTGTGCAAGGGTTTTGGAGTCCAGCAGCCTGCATGTTTTATAAATACCTGCCCATGCTGGGCTGCGAGCTAAAGAGATCCCGTGGACTACCAGAGTCAGCCTCCCCACCCCCAAACTTCCCCTCCCCGCCCCCCGCCCCCCCCCCCCCGGCCCAGCACCTGAGGGGAATCAGACCATACCTAAGCAATTGTCCGGATGAAACAAACACCCTTCCCTCCGTCGTTCGACAGGCCTGGTACCAATAACGGCAATTACCACTTATTGCTGCGGGGGCCTCGCCTCTCTCCGCTCTGCCAAGTTTGAAATCTCTGCCTGCTCAGGGTCTGCAGAACCGCGAAAAATCAACTTGGCTTGGCTTGGCTGAAGGCACCAAACGGGGCTGCGCGTATCGCCAGGAAAAGGAACAATAATAATAAACAATAGTGGTGGGACACGTTTATCGCTAGGTTGGGAGAGCACAGGGCCACCGCTCGGTTGTACTTCAGAAGTTTCATGAAGAGGCTTTTTTTTTTTTTAAAGAATCCCGCAAATATAACACGTGGCAGCGACAACTAACCCCACCCCCACCCCCCACCCCCAGTCAATTGCATCAGTGACGCTCAGAGACAGTTGACAGCGACGCCAGCCGCCCGAAGTGAAGCTGAAGTTTGTCTTTCTGCCGTGCGGAGAACAAAACTACTGCGGGTGTCAGGGGCTCGCACTGGGGGGCCGGGGTGGGGGTGTGGGGGTCGTTTCCCCTTTCCGGAGCTGTGCAGGGCGGGTGCAGAGTCCCGCAGGAATGCGAAGCTCCTAACGAGCTGCGCTCAGGCCTCCGGGGGGCGGAGGGGGGTGGGGAGGGCGGCGGGGGAGGGGCTCCAGCTGATCTCAGAATCCGGCCCGCGCGTTCCCGCGTCCTAACGGCCTCGAGATGATTTACACCAGCAGACGGTGTGCCTTGGCGGGGTCCAGCTGGCCTTCGCGTCACGGTGAGTGGTATTCTGCATTTTCCTCCCCTCCCGGCTTGAAAGAGGCTTCTGCTACCCTCTGCCCCCCCCCAATCCCCGCTTGACCCATGTCAAGTTTTGTTTTCAAACTGTAAGCCGGGTTTCCATTTCTGTTGCCCGCCCGCAGAGAGAGAGGAAAAAAAAAAAAAAAAAAAAAAAAAGCAAAGCTACCTTTGTGTGCATAACGAGGCCACCGCGGGGCCGAGGGTAACCGCCGGGAAGGAGCGTTCCGGCCTCGCGTTGCCGCCGCCGCGGCTGGGTTTAGCCGACCCCGGGGCGAGCTCCGTGGAGCGGCCCCGAAGCCACTGTCCAAGTTAGCAAACAAAAGCCACTAAGGCAGTCACCGCCCGGCCGGGACAGGAGTCCTGCCACTCACACGGCCCAGCTCCTCCTCCTCCTCTCCCGCAGTGGATGTGAGCCACCAATCCCAGCCCCAAACAACCCTTCAAAAGCCCCAGAGAGGCGGCCCTCCAACGAGCGGCCGGCCCGCGGCCCCCTCCCCGCACCACATCAGTCCCGCACCCGGGCGGGCGCAGCAGCAGCCGCCGCCGCCGCCGCCGCTGAGTCATCTCCGGCCGGGTCCCGGAAAGCGCTGCGCCCCGGGGGCAGTTTGCAGAGAGGGCTCTGCCAAGCCGGTGGGTTTCTCTCCCTGGACACCGTCCTCCAACCGCCTCCTGCGCTGATTTCCGCGTGTGCGCTCTGCCAGCCGCCAGGGCGCGCGCGGCTTGGGGGTGGGGGTGGCTTTTTTAGGGTTCCTGCCTCACGGTGACGCGACCCCCCCGCCTCCGCAGTTGGTGCGTTTTGTAAAAACCACCCGAGCTTCTTTAACTCTGGGTTTTAACGCGCTCCCCAGAGGGGTTGTCTTTAGGAAGGGGGCGCGGCGAAGGCTTGCTTTAGTTTCCAACGCAATCGTAAACAGACTCCAAAGTCTAGCGGGTCATCCCGTGGCCGCCTTAGTGTGACTTGGGCTTTAACCTTGTTTTCACCGGGACGTCTCCTCCTGCCCGATCTCCACCGAGGTCACAAAACCAGAACAGCCACAGAGCCGAAACTGGAGACAGACACCGGCGCTGACGTCGCCGCTCGGCTTATTTACGTTTGGGGTTTTTCTTTTTCTTTTTTTTTTTTTAGGTAATGGGGAAAGTCTTCTGTGACATGTGACAGTTGGCTTGCTTTGCCTTTTTTTTTTTTTTTTTAACAATCCGGCATAGGTGGAAACTAAACCTAGAAGTGAGGGCATTCGCGTCTCGAAGTCAGTCAAAACTGCATCTGGGTTGTATTTTGGGGGGGGGAGGTTGTAATTCATCGTGGAACTCGTATTGGCGCTCCCCTCTCAAGCAAAATAAACCAATAGGAACGAGTGTGTATTTAATGGCCAGTTTCTGTTTGAAATACTGAAGGGTGGAGGGGGGTTGTCCTCTGGTGGGCACCGCAGCCCACAAAGTAGACGCTGTTTACCGAAACGGATGAGCAGCCCCGGCGTGGTCACCCCTCTTCTAGAAAGGCGTAGCTGCGGGGGTGGGGAGGGGCGCAGCGGGGCGCACACGCGCCCCGGTCATTCCCAAGCTGAGTTGTTTAAAGAACATGTGAGCATGACAAGTGTCTATCCGCAACGTGTTAGATTTCGAAACTGCCCTTCAATCCAATCCGGAACTCGGAGCCCGGGGGAACAGACATTCGCCTAGGGTGCCTGTGTCTGTGTCTCATCCAGCCCCTCCCCCCCGCCGTACACACACACACACACACACACACACACACACACCTCTCCCACTGTCAAGAGTCCACGAGGAGAAGGGTGCGCCGCGCCCGCGTGTCAATGGCAGCTGCGCCTTCTGGAAGAAGTTGGTTCTTGTCTGGAATACTTTTCCTCTGGCGCCCCACCCCTTGAGTCAGAAACCGCTGCCTCTTGTGGCTGGAGTTTGGGGCAGCTGTCAAAAACAAGGGTGGGGGGTTGTCTTGTCTTCTCTGAGGTGGACGGGGCTGGGTGGGGGAGAGGAGGTGTCCTTAACCAGAGCTCTCCCCATCTGTTGCAAACTAAAAGCACTCCTCGCCCGGGACGAAAGGCCCCTAAGGAGAAACTGGTGTGGCCGCCGAGGGCTGAGGCATGTGGACCATACTAGCCCTACGGGCAGGCAGGCATGACCGTGTTTCTGGGCTCCGCCACCCCGGAGGGACCGGTGACCACGGTTCCCCGGACCAGGGCTGTTAAGCTGGAAGGTGCCGGGGGGAGGGGCAGAGGAGCGGCTGGGCGGGCGGGGGACGGGGCGGGCTGCTGGGGGCGGAGGCAGGACCTCCTGTACCTTCCCTCTGCTCTCTCACTCTGACAGCGCCGAGGTGCGCGGAGTGGAGCGGGAAACAAAGGAGTTGAGTAGGGAGGGGAGTGAGTTGGGCCAGGGAGAGCCCCCGGCTGGCTGCCAGAAGATCCTGGCTGGAGGAAGCCCAAGTGTCACTTGAATTCCAAACCCAGGAGCCAGCGCCTGGGACCCAAAGCACCTTGTTTAGCCATAGTGGCTGGAATACTCTCCCGTAAGTTCCCGGAGCACCAGTAAAGGAGGATCATCGCCCCCGCCCCGCCACTCGGACTGCTGGTCCCCAGAAACCCCAGCTTCACCTCTCGCTGGGACGGGAGTTCCAGGATGAAAATCAAAAAGGGTAAGGCTGCTGCACCGGCGGGCTGTGCGCACCCAGGGCACCAGTGCGGGACATGTGCGGTCCGTCCGCGCTGGGTCGGGGTGGGGAGACACTGACTTCGGTGGACTTTTCCGCCCAGGGGCACCCGGACCGGAGAGAGGTGGCCGTTCTCTTTGTTGAGGCTGTGTCTCCAATGGCAGTTGCTGTGCTTTTTTTCCTCCTAGACACAACACGAGGGGCTGTTGTGGGGAGACAGCCTCACCACGCTGCTGGCGCGTTGTCAAGAAACGCGCTCAGCGCCTTGTTTGTGCGCCTCCAAGTTTCATTGTCTTCGCTGACACTCCATGCTCAGCCCAGCCGCCGCGTGGTTTCTCGTGCTGTTTGTGGGACAGGGCCATGGGGTGGGTGTTTAAGGGTACCCTCACACCTCTCTTTTCCCCGCGTGTGTGTGTGGGGTCGTTGGCGCAATCCAGCTGCCTTACCTTTTGTTTAAAAGTTCGGTTCCGGGTGCTCTCGCTCCTCATCAGACCCTGGTACTGTTTTTATGGATGTGGTGTGTGTGTGTGTGTTTCACTGTCAAAGGAATGGGATTCCGGGCCCACACATCGTCTGAGGGAGAGCATAGCTTTAGAAAGCTGGACTTGGACTTTTTAAAACTACGAGTTTCTAAAAGTTTTCTCACCATGAATTTAGGAGAACTTGTCCCCATGCAGGCAAAACGTGTCCCAAGTGTGTGACAAGTAGGCTTGGTTTTGTGAGTGCATAGAGCGAGCCTGTCATTGTTTCCACCGGGCTTTACAACTAAAACTTGCCGTCAGTCAGTCTGGTTTAAAAACAAAATACACAGGGGAGGGGAGAAAAAAAAAACTCCGAGCGGTCAAAAGACTGTGAAGTCCCTTTTGAAGCTAACTTTGGAGTCCCTGGCTGGGAGGTCCCTCGAGTGTTCGTTCCTTCGTTCAGTCGTGGACTAGAGTTGGCTTTTCTGTTGTGATTTATGTGGAGTGGTTCAAAACAGAAGTTAATGGCTTGGGGAAGCTGGCGTG